ACCCAAACCGTGAATTCCCAATAAATCATTATCAAATCTGATTGATCTATGAGTGTCCGCTGTTATATGCTCATACTCTAACACCACTCTAAGTTTTATGACTATGAGACCATAATAGAAAGATTTCATTCTAGGAAAAGCAAAAGAAGCATATATGGAGATAAAAAAAGGATATAATTACTAAAGCAGCTAGACTTTATCGACCTGATGATGAATGATAATGAGTTTGAATTAAATGTATATTAATGATGAATAATAATAATGAATACCTCTTTCCCTTTCGTTCTCACCTTTAACAAAATAAAATCAATCATATTCCTTCAAAGCCCCTATTTCAATATTTTTTCGAACCAAACATAGTTCTTTTACTATGTGTAAGTTATTGATACCCCTAATCTTTACTCAGAATTTTTTCTCTATTACTATTACTGATTCTCTTCCAATAATTGAACCCTGTATATCAAATAATCCATTTTAATAATTTCAAATTTTTATCTTTCTTTGCTTGTCGATCTTTTATATAAGCGACAAGTATGCAATTTAAATCTTACTGACTGCTTTAACTATTATTTTTGTCTTGATCAATCTTGGCATTAAATAAGAATTATGAAGTCACTAAGTTCTCTTTACTCATTATCTTCAAGTTATTAGCTCTAATTCTTGGAGAATTTCTTTCAATGTATTTTCTTTTTTTTTAATTTCATTAAGTATATTAGCTTCAATAGCTTATCACTACAGCCACTCTTTCTCTATATACTATATACTGACTTTATACAATATTTCGAGCATGCTGCGAATATAATCAACTCCCTTAACATAGTATTTGTTTCAACTCATTAGTAATGGTGTTCTTCTAGTCAGAAAACCTTCCTTCTCTACCATTCAATAAGCAGCATTTCAATTTTTTTCAGAGCTTAATCGTTGATTTAACTTATATTTGTATAAATATTTATATCCAATTAAAACTGAATATTAAATTTTATTATTAGATTAGTAGAGCTTATTATTAAAGAGGAGTTTTTAAATAAAAAAAAAGAAAAAAATCACATTTGGATATAATCAATTGAGTTTTTCAAAAATAATTATATTATGAAATATAAATCTTTTAAGATATCAAACTTGCATCTCATTAAAATATTTAAAATTCATTATTGATATTACTTCAAAGGTTTGTACTCGTACACCATAACCACATAAAAGTATAGATTTGGACAGGATTTCTCAAAAATATAGGAAATAATATCTGAATATAGTATAATTTACAACAGACTTTGTAATTAGGAGTAAACAGCATTAGTAGTTAAAATAAGAAATTTGGATCAAATAAAAATATAAGGTGAGTCAAAGCATTCAAGTTCTGGTTGGATTAAAATCCTCCATTTTATTTTTGCTTCTTATTAATGATGATCTTATGATCACTTATTGTCATGCTAATACAATTAAATATTGAAATAAATTGTAATTATGGTTGCGAATTTAAAAATATCTAATCATAAAGATTCATTTATTTAATTATGTTGAAATGAGCAGTAAAGTTAAATTGTTTTTAGGTTCATAAAATTCACGAATTACAGTTTTTGACTAATCTAAATTAGTTGAATAATAGCATTTTACATAAAAATAATTAGGATATGTGTTATTCACTCATCTATTGTTAGTCTAGCCTCTTTAACTACTTTGAACTATATTTCATATTTTTCTAATAGAATTGATAAATAAAAAATTAATTAGGAAATTAATAATGAATCTCTAATTGGAATGCCATTATTGATATTATTAATTTGGGTTATCAATATATAAATTGAATTAAAGATAGATATAAAATTTCAACTTTTTAATTAATAATAAATTAATTTTGTAATTTTCAATTCAACAAGTTTATAATAAAAATAATAAAAAAAGATAATTCAATATAGTTTTAATGCATACTCTCTCTAATATTATAATTATGAGTGCTAAAGTAGCCGTATTTTAAATAGCACAGTTTTTAGTAAATTAATTGATAACCTCTCTTCTGTTTTAATTCTAGGATTATACAATCATAATTTCTTATTTTGGGTCTCGCATTTTCAAATTAGTCTATATAATTCCAACAAACTCGCGAATGAAGTCTTGCACCTATTTTAATTTGAAATTTTCATATTAATATTATAATTGAAATCAATAATTGAATTGAATATAATTTGTTTATAAAGTATTTTCGTTTGTCAATTATTAAGGGAATTTTAAATTCTTCAAATTTTGAGTTATCTGAATCTATTCAATTATAAAGCCTTTCCAGAACTAACCTTAGCATTAGAACAGTGGTCTCTTCGGAATTTACGATATTTTCATTTTGCATCATGGCAATATAAACACAGAAGTTGTGTTGCTAGATGTAGTGTGCTTAATTTGACAATTCTAATAGTGTGTTTGAAAATTCTTTGAAAGTAAATTGCATTAAAATTTTTTACTAATTTAGTATCTCAAATTATGAATGCATATAATTTACATCCATTTTTATAAGTATTGATAAGAACAACTCAAAGTCAAATTTGAATTAATCCTCAAATATTAATTTCAAAATTAATATGATAAACTTATAAAATAATAAATAAATGAATTATCATAAACTTATTACTGTGGTCTTTTCAGCTTCCATTTCCATTTTGAGTTTTCCTTAATTAAAGTTATTGGACCATATTCTGTTACAAGTTGTTAGAATAACTTTAAAACCTTACGTTTTATTATTATTGTTTCCCATCCAAAGAAAAAATAGAATTGACTCCTTGTTGTTAGTAACTATTGCTACTTAATTGCATCATTTATCCTAAACCATATGAAGTGAAGGTTCCTCTTTATGATGCTTGCTTTGCTTAATATAAATCTTAAATAAGTGAAGGAGCCTATGAAGCCATTCGCTAATTAGATTGCAATCGTACAATGACTTCGTCTATTTAATTTTAAGCCACATCAAATTACTATTTTTGGCATTATTTTCTTGCATCATCAATTATTTAAGCTACTATCACTCTATTGTATTATTCAAGTACTTCTATATCTTCTTCATTTTAGTAAATTTATTCATCTTGATTGAAGAATGTCAAAATTAGAGTTGCAGACTTTTTCAAGTCCTTTTTTGACAATGGATCAGTAATTTAGAGTTGAGCTTCCATAATCAAAGCATTTCTTTCATTATCTTAGATTTGTGCAATTAATTAAGGTAATTCCAATTCGAATACAAAGTCTTTTCTTGATCCTTAAATCAATATTGGAAGGTTGATCTCATAATGATCCCCTTTATTAATCCACATATCTCCATGAGTCTTAGCAATATTCAAACCATTTAATATTTTAGGGAGGTTTAAGTTAACTTTAATCTATAATTTTTCACCCACAACCGATTTTAAGCCTCCTAAAGCATCCACAAAGAATTCATCCAATAAAGAAATATTCTACACAAAATAAAAGCTTCCATTTTTCAAGCTACAAATTGATGTCATCATAGCTGCATCATGATCCTTACCAAAACCAAACGAATGCAAGGTAAAATCCTCATTTAGTTATCATAATCATCTTGATATTTATTAGGTGGCATCATTGTCTTAGCCATCAGAAAGTAAAAAGACAGAGCTCACATTATTTCTATACTTCCTGCCCTTTAACTAGCTTATAGCAATCTAGGTTGCTGAGGATATTTATGTGCCTCCGTCAGACTTAATTTAATCAATCATTTATGTAAAGTACAATTTGTTATCTTCTGTTATTCTTTTCAATGGAGTTAATCTTTTGGCATGGGTATTAAAAATAATTAGTTATAAACGGTCTTGATTTGATAAAAATGTTAATAGAACTTTCAAACTTTATTTTACAGTCTCTATCTTACTCCCATTCATACTTGAGCTTTTATCGATCAAACAAATCTTTAATAAATTAAAAACATTACCAAATCTACTCCAACTCTATTTAGGTCTTAGTCATTTAATTGATCTTTTGTTTTTATACTAATGATTCCAGGCAACTATTAAGTTGAGATTTTAGATAATTTAATCATCTTCTATAATGTCTTGATTTCAAAAATTAGTTCTTTTTCTAGGTCATACATATTCGGCTTTGCCTAGACCAAATTTGTTTGAACTTAATCATCATCATCAAATATTTCCTAAGAAATAGCTGTTTAGGGTAATTATTAAGAATATTTTGGTCCCAACGAATGTTAGTATCCGAAGTTTTAACTCTAAACGTTGAAATTGTTTTGACAAAGGTCTGGTCTTGTTGTTTGGAATCTTTAAGATGATTGATTATTTTGTTAAGATTATGGATTCTATTTCATGGATATAACAGAATTTTTCATATTTTATTCTACCATTTTTGATTCTTGGGAAGGTTTCATTATGTTTAATTTATGATGATAGAGATATTAATATAGATGCTAATTTAATAGTAACCAACTTTGAAGCAAGAATTAAGTTCTATTAAGATTTTGAAGATTAGTATTTCTATTTTATATTCCCATTTATCATGACATTCAATTTATTGAATTAGGGTTCAGTCATATTTTAATAAAGCTAAGTATTTGATGATATCTTCTAACAATGAGGCACCTGTCAATACCCAAGCGAGGTTAATTCTTATTTGCGAATAAAATTATTGAGTTTATAAACAAAATTTAAAAAGATGTACTTACCAGGGAAAAATTTAGAATCCAAAGTTATTGGCTAGTTATATAAAATATACTAATAAGAAAATGAGTTTATAATGAAAGCTTGAAGTGATTTAATACTAATTTAAATGTATTAAAATTTATAATATTAGGGTGATCAAAAGCTGTTAATCTACAAATCTACAAATCATTTTATCATCTTTGAAAGAAAGAACTTAGAATGTTTTAAAAGTTGATTGAAATGGGGAATATATATGAATGAACTTTTTAAAGATGTTCTTCATTGAGGATTTAATTTAAGATAAGGGAAAATGATAGATTTTCTATATACTAGAGAAATGTCTTGGGTTTGATAAAAAGAGAAAAATATGGAAAGAAGGGTTACATTAAAATCCACAAGGAAATGTAACGTAAGTCATGAATTTGGGCATAATTTCTTATAATGAAGATAAAGGTTTCAAATAGTGTCATTAATAAGCGTTGAATTAAGGTCCATATTATTAATTTGGACTATGGAGAAAGAAAAGTTATACTTAAAAAGAATGTCATCATTTTATGAACACTACGGATTTGGGAATTACAACTTAAACTGGAGATGAACTTAGATAGATTATACATTTCTTATTTGAAGAATTTAATTTAGAAAAAGACTTTATATCCCTTAAGGTATAAAGGATGATATTATGTTTTAGTCCCATATATCTGTCGTATTTCAGATTTGTTCATATTTTCAATTTCTATGATATATACGCATCAAATTCATTGCATCTTAAGAGCCGACAGCGAAATGATTCTTCCTCTACAATAATACATTTTCAAATCTTTGTTTACACCAAATCCAAGATTATTTCATTTTCAAACATTCGTATCAATTGTTTTCCAACCTCCCACAACAGATTTTATATCATTAATATTTTATTTTCTCAAAAGAGATCTCTTCCAAGGTTTACCTACTTATATCGATTAATAATGAATGAGATAAATCAAATACTCTTGATTTTGGAAATGGGAGCATGCTAATTAAATCTAAAGCTTTTCAAAACTACTTTTTTTGACAAAAGTGTTAATCTGAACCTTGAGATGAGAAATCACAAAAGAATCATGAAGGTTATATGATTAATGCTAAATAAAAATTAGAAACTCCCCACTCACAATAGGGATTTGATGCTCCCATGAACGAATCACTCTTCGTTTTGGAATTATTAATCTTTATTTTTGATACAAAAAGGATAAAAACATCCAATTCACCAATTAGATTAAGAAAAGATAAATTTCTAATTCTGTTAACCTGTCAATCCATTTTATACATTAGAAGAAATGTATTCTATGTAACATATTTAATAGATCTTAAGAAGAAATTGAATCGGCGAAATATCAAAAAAAAAATGTACTAAAATTCACAAAGTTAAACATTGATGAATTTGTGGTTTAAAAAATAAATTAAATTACAATATTGATGTAATGAGTGATTCGTATCATATTATATATTATTTATGATAGCATTCATCTTATCACAATTAATGATTAAAATTGATAATAAATTGAAGAGAGTTGAGTAAAATATAAAAAATGGAAATTATGATTACTGCAATATATATTTTCAAGTTAATATGGTTATCTTATATTAATAACATTAAATATATATTAATATATAATATTATACTTTAATGAAATTATATTAGAAACTAGCATACACTAGATTCTTACTAAATAAATTATTAGCTGAAAATGTACAAGATTATGAACTAAATCTTATATAGTAAATCAATATGTATATAGAATATAATATAAATTACATTTCTAAAATTTTTCAATTTATTCTTCTCTACTACATTTTATTCTTTAACTAACATTGGAAATATCAAAATGCCCAATTTTTATTTATAATCATTGAATTCTAATAGAATTTAAGTTTAGATTAATGATTATTAACAAATAATATTTCTTTTTTAGAATGCTTTTTAATGATATAAATATAATTGATAATTTAAAATTATTAATTTCAATATTGAGCATTCTCATTAATTGAAGACATTGCTATTTTAAATATCAGCATTTATGTAAACTCAGTTATTTTATAATATTATCCAATGATCTCTTTAATTTTGTTTTAATCTTTCAATTTAGATCTTAATTTCACTAAGTTTTTTTATTTAATTAAATTTTCTATTTCAACTGTCATTTTTTCTATTTATTTTTTATCTTTTTCCATTACTTCAATATTCATCTTATAGTAATTTTTACATATGACATTTTCATATCTTAATAATATATCTAAAGCCTCTTTCTCCTTTTTTGTATTATCTTCTTAGTCACAAATTAATTTAGATTAGAATATCTTTTAGTAATCACTTTCTTTGTTATTCTATTAAATTTTCTTTTATTAATTTGTATTAACTTTAATTCTTTCATAATATCTTGTTAAGTGATATTATCTTATATAATTTATTAAAGCATACACTTTCTCATATGATTCTAAATTTTATTGATATGCTTTGTTGAAATCATTGATTTAATTAAAATTTGGAATTTTATCCATTAATTCATCAATACTAGAAAAGACCGTTATAATATATTCTATTAAATTATCTAATTATTACGGGTTTAATTATTAATTAGATATATTTTGGTTTATTGAAATTAATTTTATTTTTAATTGCTCTTCTTATATTTTTAACAATCCATAATTCTTAATTAGATTATCATCCATTAAGCAAAAATTTAATTGTTAGTAATTATGAGATACAATGTAAATTATTTAATATAACTTTTATCCTTTATGATGACAAGTTTATTAGAAAATTTTGAGCATATGCTCAATATTTTGTTATAACATCCCTCTTTTTTTTTAATTTACTTTTATTTCATACTCCAATAGTTTCATGTTTTCTTAATAAATCAATGAATACTAATTCAAAATTCTGATTTCTTACTCCAATTCTTTTTGGAGATTTTCTTTTTTTTGATTCATTTATTAATAAAACTCAACACTTTGAAATTAAAATTTGATTGATTGCAGTGCCTTTGTATATTCTCCATACCTTGTTTATAATTTATTATTCAAATTCAATATTTTTTTTTCTTTTTCACTTTTTTTATCTTCCATTTCTTTCTTAATTATTTACTCTAATTAGTTTATATATTCTATTTCATTAATTTCTACTTCTTTTAATTTTCTCTAAAATTCTTCCAATTATGTAATTTAGTTATTAATATTTTCACACGAATCTGATTAAATCAATTAAGCAAACAACTCGAAAAGCTCCTATTATTCCTTTACATTTTAATCGATATTTATTATTCTGGAATCTATTAATTTCTATGAATCATAGTTATTGCAATATTCATTTTTGATAAAGTCTTTCACTTAATCTTTTAATTTATTCATTTTAATAATAAATTTACCAAATTAATCTTTTGCAATTTCTAATTTTTTAATTCTTTCTTGAATTTTTAAGGCAATAAGTTCATCATTATAAATTTGTTAATGTAATTAACTATGTTATTTTTCAAAGAACACTAAGGATTTTTAAATTTATTAATTTATTTGAGAGTACTCTTAATAAGCTGGCAATGTTCTTTAAAATATCAATTATTTTAGTTTATCTAAGTCACTAAAAGCTTGTCCTATCTGAGTAATTACACAAGTTATTTAATTTGAATATTTTTAATTTTTAGATAAATACTGATATTTTTCCTAGTAATCAATTAATTCTTTGTATAATTCCTCCATTTATTATTGATTTTTCACCAAATACTGCTAATCTTTTTACTAAGTACTTTTAATTGCTTCTTCAATTTGAGTTTTGTTTCTATTTTAGGCTTCTTAAATTTCTTCAAGCTTGCTATTACAGGATTAATAAGTAGCAATTTGTTATTGCAATGATTCATATTACTCAATTATTTTCTCCTAAAATTCTACTGTTTAGATATCTTATGTTATTTGTTGATGATATTTTATCACATCTGAAATCTTCTCATTTCCTTAAATTTCTATTATCTGATAAAAGTGAATTTAGTCTTAAATTAACTAAATCTAAGGAGATTATTAATTTAATTATTATTTAACCATTTATAATGAAAATTGATATTATTCTTTTTCTTTTTCTTTTTTCAATTTTTGCTCCTATTCCATTTTCATTTAATATTCTCTTTCGATTTTTTACTTCTCCTCAAATAATTCAAACTTCACTTAATCTTTTAACTACTATTCGAGTTTATTTTTTTCTTATGTTATTTTATCAATGATAACCTTTTAATATTAATAAATGATGAATAGTCTTGAGATAGTTAATATTATGATATTCTTTTAGCATCTCTTTTGTCTATGCGTATAATATCGATTTTAATTGTTATTCATTTTTTAATAAAATCTCTTCATATTTTTAAATTTCATTATTAATGTAAGTGAACAATTATTACTTTGTATTATTTTATAAATTAATTTGTTTAATTATCTGTTGTGTATCAATTAGATATTAAATGACATTGCTAATTGTACTTTTGATATCTTTTAACTGAACAATACATTATTATTTTTGATCTTTAAATTATTGTATTTCTTTTTACTCTTATTCCTTAATTTCTTTTAAAAGTTCGTCTATTTTGTTTAATATTATATCCAAATTACATCTATGTTAACTTTCTTTTTATAACATTGATTTGATTATTTCCTTTTCTTATTATCCCATACAATTGGTTTAATCTATTGTCAAATCTATATAGTCTTAAGTAAAAGCAAGCATCTAAAACATTAAATCTTTTGTATTTTTAGCTAAAAATTAAATAAATTAGAACCTTTTATTAAATATTCTGTTGTTAGCATTTAATAAAGTATGATTCCAAGACTCCAAATATCAACAGTCTTATCATAATTACCTTCTCCTATCATAACTTCCGGTGACATGTAATTGCAAGTCCCCACCTGTAATGATTTAAGTCTTGTAGAGTCTTTCTTAACTAAACCAAAATCTATTAACTTGACTGTATAATTTTTTCTTTAATTTTCAAAATATACAAAGTTCTCTGGTTTCAAATCTCTATGACTATAGCCTAATGCATGTAATTCCTTAACTCCTTTAATCATCTAACAATATAATTTAATTTACTTATCTAAATAGTTTAAGTTTCTAAGCCAAATTAAACGATTTATTAGTATTAATTAAGTGCTATAAATTATTTTTACCTTATTCCATAACCATTAGAAAATTTTTCTATTCTTCCTATTATGAACAATCTTAAATTCCAAGAATTTTAATTATATGTTTGTTTTTAGATTTATCATCTATTTGTTCTTTTTAAATTATGTTCAGCACTTACAATTCATCTACTTTTATTTAATTATATTATTTTATGATAACTTGTTCATATGGATTTCCAATACATTTTGCAATATAATTAATTGATTGAGCACCTTATTACTATATTTCTCTAATGATTTCATACCCTCTCCCTTAAATAAACAATATTTTTCCTTATTAATTTGATGAAATCATTTAATTTAATTTATTTATAATAGAATTACGATTATTTATATAAAATATAAAACTAAAGTGATTTTTTCTCATGCTTTGTATTATTCAATCAACTAAACTTTTTATATATTCCTCTAATTACTCTGTGGTATTGAAGAATAGATATATACCTTTATTAGAAAATTGAACAATATTGCAATAATAAAAAATAACATAAATTTTGAATAAATTTTGCGATTTGATGTCTTGTAAATTTTAATCTCACAAAACAATGATTATAGTGTTGAATGCATTGATATTGAGTAGTATTTTATAATACATTTAAATTGATATGAACTATGTTAATAATTTAAAATATACTAATATATAATTTGATATATAATTTAATTATGATAGAAGAATATATTGAATTATTTATCATTAAAAATAATAGATTCATCATCAACTGTAAGTGTAGAAGCAAATTGAGGAATTCGAAATAATAACAAATTGAATCTGTTATAAGGAAATCAAGGAAATGTGAAAAAATGGAGTGCTCAAAGTTTATGAGTATATGGTAGATGCCATATGATATTCTCGGTATCTTATTATATGAACTTTTACATGAGAATGCTCCATTTAGAGACAGGATCAATCTTCAAGTATAAACCATCTCAAAGATTCACAATGAATTAGATATTTAATTATTCTTTGATACAGAAACATGCTCCCAATTTCAAAATTGACATCTCAATTTTTGTATATAAACCCCTATTTCCTACAAGATAGATTATTTAGATCAACTTGAAGACAACAAGTAAATTGATGGATCCTAACATCCCAAATTTAAACAAAATCTCTAGATATATTCTCATTCGTGCAATATCTTAAAAAGTAAACAAATTCATTAAATAAATTTAAAAAAATTTTATAATTTAATATTATCTTATATTTCAATCATTCTGGTATTCAATCCATTTATATTTATAAAAGTTTCAAATGATGATATTAATGTAATTATACTTAACTATAAAATTTAAAGTGATAAGCAAAATGATGAAAGAAATTAGTGTTGAAAAGTGAGAAGTTTGAAATTAATTATTCAATAAAGGAATTTTTATAATTATCTTCCATTTAATATCAGCAATGTTATTTTTAATTGGCTGCTATAATTCCAAGTATATACTTGAAATATCGTTCTCTTATTATTATAATATTCAGCATTTCTTTGTATTATGTTGTGAAATTTAAGTAATAATTATAAAACAATCATCTAAATGATATTCTTTATTTAAATATTTTTAGTAATCATCCCAATTAATTAAAACCCTCTATCATCATACTTAAAAACTTGATTTTGAAAATTAATAGACTACTCAGTAGAATCTCAGCAACTTTTTTCGATCATATTAAATTAAGATATAAACCCTTTTTCTTTGAATTACGAATTCAATTTCTAATCATAAATTATCAAAGATTAATCAACTATGATTTTCTATATCACTACCCACTTAGTATTTATCAATCTTTTATAAGCTTTCAAATCTGCATATTTTAAATTATTTTGTTACTAATGCAAACATACCCATAAACACAATGTTTATGATTTGCGATTATTTACAAACACTAACATTTATATTTTTACTCTAAATTTTATTGGTATATCTTCACTGCTTAAGATTTCTTTTTCGTTCAATATTAAACATCTCGTGATGCAATTCAAACAATTAGCATTTTATTGGCACATCCATTACTTATTGTTACTTAAAAACCATAAAATAAGCTATCAGCAATTGGAATTATACTATAATTCTATTTCTTTATATTTCATAAATTTTAAACTTAATTATTACAAAACAACATTCATTTTTTATTCGATTAGATTATTCTAAAGATAAACTTATTAAATCATTTTATTTCAGGTTAAACCATATAATTTTTAGATTTAATTAAGAATATAAGATATGTATCATGTAATTAATTTTACCTTGTTCCATTGGTTTTGTTTATAATGATTTATTTAATTAAACGAATTTGATTTAATTATTTTTTATAAAGATTGATTGATATAATAAAGAAGATCTTTGATTAGTATATCAATAACATCCTCTTAAATAATAGATTGATTAAAGCAATCATTTGATTAATTTATCAAAATTAGCTTTGCTAGTTTACTATTCAATGTTTATCTTCAATCAGCTTATGGCATTTTTAATAGTCTAAATGATACCTTGGTAAATTTTCAAAAACAATTTGCAAGATACTTAATTTTTTAATGATTCTATCTAAATTAATCAATTCAAATTGGTATGAAGAAAATAGTTACATGCGAAGTTTTATATAGTAATTATTCTAAAAATTCTTTTATTCTTTATGAAATTACATATGAAAAATTAGAATTGATAATCCATTATCTAGAATTAAAATCAATCTATTATTCTATAGTTACTAATTCAAAATTTATTAAATCTTTAAAAAATATTCCACAAACAGGAATCAGATAAAGATTACTGATTTCAAAGTGATATTAACTAACAAGTTTTTGCATCATTAATTCTTAATTTAGCAAACAATTTTGAGGAACCATGAGATATTCATTAGGAATAACCTACCATATAAAAGTATCCTTAGAGTGTTTTTATTCATTATAAAAATCGAATTAAATTAAATTCAGATAAACCACTAAAATTTTTCATTATTAATTAGAATTTATCAATAACTTAATATATTATACTTATTTCTTAAAAACAGTCAATTTTTTTCACTATCATTTTTTATCTCTAAACTTTTTAATTTATTATAAATTAACATTTCAATATCTGGCAATCATTTTGTGGATAGATTAAAAAATTAACAATGGAAGATACAATCAAACTAATGGTCTAGGGGAAAAGCCATTCGAATGTAAGAGATTTTCATAAATTTGATTTACATATACATACGATTTTAAGTTTAAGAATTCATCCAAACTTCATAATTTAGAAAAAAAATAATAATATAAATTAACAGGAAAATCTAGAAGGTCATGATAATCAGGTTTGGTGAGAAATATGGTTTAAATCAATTCAATATTGATTATTTATTGTAAAAATAATTCTCGAAAAGTTAATAACTCAATGTCTTATATTTTAATATTATATTTTAATAAATTTCAAAATCTCATAGTATTTTGAGTAGGCCCTTAATTATTTAGTGTTGGATAGAAAGTTTATAAATTTTATCCAGGTGAAGGATTAGGTCTATTTATAATTGGATACTATTAAAACTATCCTTATTTATCATTTAATTAGTGCACATTTTGAGGCATCTAAGCTTATTTTTAGTTGTTGAAGAAAAAGTCTTATTAGTTGTTTTATTAAATTCGCTATGGTGTGTATTATTCATTATTAAGCACTTAATTTTATGGTAATTTTTATATAGCTTAACTGTTTAGAGCTAAATGCTATTACGGGTACAATTGGTTATTTTACATCTTGTAGTACTATTAATTTTACTGGACATTTTATTATTTGTTAAACTACCCTAAACATACCTATTGGCATAATTCTAAATCAATATTATCTTTGAATTGTTCCTCTTTCTTGAGTATCTCAAAAAATTAACTTTATTTGAATTGTTGATTTTAAGATTTATATATATATAGGTTAAAAAGGAAATAAAATATCCTTCGCAAAGCTAATTTATTAATGAGAATATTTTCTTAATAAACTTCATCATTACAAGTGATTGTACATTCTTCCTCATATGATATTTGTTGATAATTAATGGAAATTCGTTCTTTTGTGCATCCGCAGATGCATTAATTATTTAAGATAGCCCAACAATCAACTGCATTTATTTGATTTCTGAAGCCAGTTAAACATGTTAGTAAATGATAATCACAATTGAACTAAAAGGTATTAACTTGTTTTTCAACCCTCTTTAAATAATAGAGAGTTATCATATTATTCAGATATTGTTATTGTTTATTTTTATTATAGATCTGAACATTTTGAAGGAATAACTATTTTAGTTAATTGTAACTTTAATAGAATATTGGTGAATAATTTGTATTATTAGACACTCTATTTGACACAAGCTACATTTTAACAGAAAGCGATAGATTTTATTCCTAAAATTCAATCTATTATAACTTTTCCATACTTTATTTAAAGATAGTTTTAGTACTTTTATTCTTTCTTAATACATTATTTGCATTAATATCTAAATTGTAAGACTCTTCTAATTCATTAAGATATAAATCATCTTCAGTATTAATAGTATTGATATTTTCATTTGAAAAGAGAGTACGAACGATAACTAATTTAATTTCTTGATGTTATCCTGTGACTGCAAGTATATCTTATAAAGTTTAGACTGATTCTTAAGCATTTCTAGTGTTTTCTGCTTTTAAACAAAATACCAATGTTAATTGATCCTTGCAATTGAGGATTAAGTTAATTATTAAATTCATTATTTCTGAATCATTTTTATTGTGAAAACTTGGAGTATCAATCAAACAAAATCCGTATGTTCTTGAGCCATATGGAGGAATCATGTAATGTGTAGCTTTTGACGTTGGCTCATTGTTTGATACCCTTAATCTAAAATTGTCATCAAATTTAATATCAAAATAATAATTTACAAATGCATCTATCAATGTAGTTTTTCCTTACTCCTTCTACCCAATAAAAATTACTGTTTTATAATTATTGCTTAGACTTTTTTAGCTAGTATCATATAAGTAATATTAAACTCCTATTTCAGTTGAATCAAGTTTTATTAATGGCAACTCTAATTCTTTTTTTAATTTAATTATTTAAATTTTTCTTTATTTATCAATCAATTTTAATTTCTCTTAGCAAGAGTTTAACTATTCAAATTTTGATAATTAGGATAATTTTGATTCTACCTGAACAATCCATTTAGATTATAATTCTTTTATTTGATTTCTAATTTTATCTTCAAAATATTGACTACTTTATTATGTAATTTCTTTTTGTACAATATATTCCAACTCTTCAAGAAACTTGTAGTCAACCTATTTTTATTTTTCGTTATGTAAATCTTACTACCATTAATTGACTATTGATAGAACTTGATCTATTTAATTTGAAATGGCGATCCTAAATTGTTCTAGATCACTTTGAAATTCTTTAAGCAATTTAAGAAATGGAGTGATAAGTGTTTCAATTACTTTATGTTTATGTTACAATTCGGATTCAATTTTTTCAATTGCTGTCCTCCATCCCATAGTCATGATATTCTTTTCAAAATTTTTGATACAATCAGCGCACAAGAATCTATTACATAAAGACGAACTTTTGTTTAAAGCGATTGCTACTATGGGTTTTTAATGTTAGTACAAACATTAATAATCTGACTCCTATTCCCTTAATTTAATCATTTATTTATTAAAATTCTTTAATGCACTACATTATGAATTTTGACAAAATTAATTATTCTATTGTTAATAGGAAATAAATTTTAGGAGATTTATTTTAAATGACAACAGGATTAAAATAGAAAAATCGTTTGTTGATGATTGAATTCTCTAAATTATAGTTTTATATTTTTAATTACTAATTTTACATTTGTCTTTAGCATGTTTATACTATGAAAAATATTAAATAACTTCTTAATGATGAAGAGTTAACTGTTTATTATATCTTAATAATCATAATCAAAAATTTATATTTATATACCTAATATATTAAAATAATAAAGGATGAAATTTAAAAACGAATTATAAATCATTATTAATTTTTACGTATAAGATTCTACGTTTATTTTAGGAGATTCATTATTGTATCTTACTTTTTGATTTTTCTCTTTCTCAAAAAATGATGCTATGAATTAAAATCATTTTTATATAACTACGATAATAATTGATTTATACCAAAAATATAATTTGATTAATATTATTATGTGGATAATAGCACTTAAATTCTTTAACTACTTCAAAATCTTTAAAAATTTCTAGATATTACCCTCTAATTAGTTTTTATCCATTGATGTCCTCATCTGAGGAATCATCTGAGGTCACTTTAATAGTTAATCCCCGTTATATACTTGCTTGATTATTGATGTCTTTGCTTTCTTTGCTTTCCTTATTATTAATTACTGTTTATTGCTTCTCCTTCTATTAGTGTAGCAGTTCTTCTTTCTATTTAATTTTCTCATATTAGATCATCATACTTTGCTCCAAAGGTTTAAATTCCTATTAGGGGAAATGCCAAAGTTAATTTTGCTGAGGTTCTTGAGATGCAATCTATTTATCAGTAAATCTTTATCTATTTTTCAATATTTGTTCTTCTAAAAACTAATTGGTTAAATCCTTTTCATCTTCAGAATTTTCATCATCATTAATAACCTTGGTATATATCTTGTTAGTTATTTATTTCTTATCTTTATCTTAAGATTAATCACTATCATCATCCACTTTAAAAATTTCAATGTTAGGTCTAACATTGCTATTTTTAATAGAGCGTTGACTATTAGAATATTCCAATTCAAAAGGTGAATCATCTTATTTATTTTACTTATGCTTTAGAGGTTCTTATGCTTTTTCTTTTTAAATTATGTAATCCTAAATGCTTTGTTTTCTCATAATGGTCGGTTGTTATAATTTGTTCATCTTTTATTGTTGGGATACAATTAATTAATTATTAAATCCAGATAACTGAGGCAATCCCTCTTAACTATTTTGTCTTTCGGTAAATAACCTTTTAAATTATTTTTATCTGTTTGATTTGTTCTCATATTATTCTGTTTATTTTCTCTCGAATTTCTATCTAATGGAATGTCTTTTTTTCATCATTCTTTATTGTGGTTGCTTTGTATCAGTGTCAGCTGAAGGGACAATAGACGTTTATTAAATTTCCACTTATGGCAATTATTCACTAAGGTTAATGGAAAACTTATTCTCATCAGATCTTTCTTCCTTAGTTTATGGTTCTTCCAAAATAGGTTATATTGTTAAATTATTCAAGTCTGTTAGCAATCGAATATCCTAAGATTTACTTAAAGTTCCAAATTGAATATCTTTTTCTATAGGCACTTCTTGAATTTAATTATCCTTTAAAGACCTTTAGTTTTAGATTTATTGAGTATTACGAAGAGATTAATGAGATATACAATTAATTGAAGTTGGAACATTTGGTAATTGAGATGTTGGCTTTGTGAATTAGTTAGATAAATTATATGAGATCTTCTCTTCATATTATTATTGTTGTTTGATTGCTGCTTGTAATTCTAGATTGAAAATATATATATTTACATTCTTTAATTCCCTCTAGATTGCAAATTTCATCATTCTTCATTATGTATTATATTACACTTTCCATGACAAGAAAATGATGCTTCTTTGTTGATATTCTTCTGTCCTCATTATTTCTTACTTTCAAAATTCTATCTTGAGGTACGTTGTGTCTCAATTGATACAATACTTTTGTTCTGTTTATACCTCCTATGAGGAGAGGACAATCAAGTACAAAATGATTTGACTTATGACAAATAGAGCATTTTATTGAGATTCTTCCAAATTATTTTTGCAATCTAATGTCTTCCTCAAAGTTCTTATAGATTTACTATCAGATTTGAATAATATAATTACATAGTCAATATCACTCTATTTAATGTTTTCAATCAAAGTTTATCGATCAATCGCCAATAATTTTGTGTTTTTTGTAGCAATAGCTTCATAATTATATTCAGTATTGAGAAGAAAATTGAGTTAACCAACTAGACATTGAGTCTTTATTTTTTCAATTATTCTTTTTTTTTTATTGATGATCACATGCAAATCGATTTATCCACTTACTAATATATATAATTTATCAGCCCTCTAATTTGATTTAAATAAATATTCATCTGGTTACAATTACTATTCTTTGAATTATAAACAAAGTATATTTAATAATGAATTAGTAAATTACTTAAATAAATCCAATTATTTTAGCAATTTAATATTTATATCTACAATCATTAGATCCTTTAACTATTAAGGAATTTAATCCTAAAACTGAATTACTTCTTGAGAAGGTTTACTCCAAAAATATTCAAAATATCTTCTAAACTTGATTTGCAATGTAGTTGATACTTTTTAATTTTTTAAGTATCTATTTAAACTATTCATATTTGTTTTAAATTAAACAGATTATTTAGACATGTCCTAAAATATTTATCCAATACTATTGACTGAATAAGCAAAGGTTGCTGTCGATATCAATGTCATTCCTATGCAAAATAATCTTTCGGTTAAATTTACAGGAGTGATATCACCATAACCAATAGTTGTCATAGTAACAATACTCCAATAAAATGAAACTACATATCTATCAATCCACATTGAATTGTATAATTATTCTTTTATCAACCAAGTTAGTGTGTTTTTATCTCCCCAATCTCCCCAAACTCCTAGTTTATGCCAAATACAAGCTGAGAAATGAGCACACAATAGTATAAAAAAACTCTATTATTGATGTATTATTACATTAGTTTAACCAATTCAAAAACTGTAGTTTGTTGTTATGTCAATTCCAAACGATTAAATAAAGAATTAGTTAATTTGGATATCTGGAACACTTTCAAGATAATAACAAGATCTAAGTATATAAAATCAAATTATCTTCCAATAAAGAATGGTATGATTAAAACCATATCAATTAGAAATTCTCTCTTTAGATATCGCTTTATTAATCTCTTTCTATTTTTAATCAGTACTCCTTTACTATAAATACAGGTATTAAATTTAATTATAATTTCTAATAAAAATGAATAACTAGGTAGTTATTCAAATATGAAATCTTTCAATACCCAATCCATTTTCACAATTTCCACAAAAGATAATCGTAGTGAAACATAAAACACATTGATTGTAACAATACACAATAAATAAATATTCCAAATTATAATTATTGTGTCATCAGGTTCCAATAATATAAACTGCATGAATCTCTTTATGTAATTTCTTCTGTAATCTATAATAATAAAGGTTATTACATTGGAAGAAGTTCACCCTTTGATCAAATTTAATCATAAAGGATTACGCTTTGGCTTGTGTAAAATAGCCTCTATGCAGATAATAGTTGTAATCTGAGGTTTTATCCTTAAGCAATTTGAAAAATTGTCGATTGAGCAACTTAAAGGAAGTAGTAAATGTTTATTTCGTTATCGCTTATATAAATTTTAGAACTATTAAAATGATGTTGAGTCCATTAAGTTTCCAAGTATTATTGAATTAATATTGAGAAAATTGTCTTCTGAAAAGATTCTGATCCTGTTTTCGAAATTGAGTATCAATTCTCTCTGAATTTTATTATTCCTCATATTACTATGAAATGTTCATAATTTATATATTTATATTTTATATCATTTCAAGGTAAAAAGTTATCTTCTACCCCATCCTAGAATTACTCATCATCAATATTTTGTCTAACATTCGTTTTAGGAGGTGGTTGTTTATTCCCACGTCTATTATAATAATATGAATCAATAAAAACCTAGTATTATTAGTAAAACTAACAGGATTGTCATCTCCTTAAGGCAATCTAACCTATTCATCTTCATTATTGATTAAATTGATATCTTGACCTTGATATCCATCCATCATTTCCATTTCCCTCTCTAACTTTCTCAATTATCCAGCATATTCTTCATATGGTAATCCCATTTCTCGACATAATTAAACTAAAAATCTGAGACCTGAATAGATGATTAAAAATTAATACATTCAATATTATCAGGATAATCTGAGTATATTTTTTGGTAATTTCCCAAGGCCTTTTAGAAATGCCCCATTCTTCGATAACAACTTGCAACCATCAATTTCCATTTTACATCTCTTGACTACACTTAAGCAGCTCTCTCAAAGTATAAACTAGCCTTTTCATACATTTCCTATTTCACATAATACACTCCCAACCATGAGATAGTTTCTATGTTAGTGGGTAAGATTCTATAAGATTCTTAGAAATAATGCAAAGCTTAGGGTTCGTCATCTTCCTAATAATTTATTAATCAACATTCATACTCTTGCAAATAACGACCCCAGTCTAGCCAAGATATTGGGATCATTAGGTACTTTATTCATTACTTCCAAATACCATTTCATAGCTTATTTCGAATTGCCTGTCATTTCATATAATGTAGCCATCTGATACAGAACTTCAGGAATGCAAACAATAGTTTATAGTTTATCTAATGCTTATAGTGATTCCACAAACATATTCAATTTTCTATTGACATATGCTAAATTGTAGAGTGCTTCAATACAATCAGCCTCTACACCAATCGCTTCTAAGTATTATTCTTTGGCTCTTAAGAATTCATTTTTAACATACAGACAATTACCTCTATTGACTAGAGCTTTGGCATTGTATCTATCATAAGTGATGGCAATTTCTGCATATTTCTCAGCTTGTTTGTAATCATTTTCTAAGAAATACAAAAATGAAATATTCGTTGCTATTCTAGCCATAATTTGTTTATCTTTTTTTTCGAATCCTTTCAGAGTTTCAATAGATTTTTCTATGTTCTTCTTTTTCAAAAATGCCATAGCTTTACAAATTTCAATTTCAGTTTCAGCTTCTGGGAATGTTGAATTCTTTAACTACTCTAAAATCCATTCGTATCCAATAATGATATCATCCTCAATCAATGGAGCAATTAATTTTGCTGCGGTGACTATATAATAAATGGCTTCCCTTCTTCTTTCCTTAGTATCTTCTCTTAATTTATCTGTTATAGTTGTGCCCTTATTTTCATTATTCTCTTCCTCATTCTCTCCTGGTATTTCAATTGTGAGTAATGTGACAAAGTAATCCTTCATTTTATTCTTATTTCCACTTAGATATAAACAAATCATCAGATTAAAGCCTGTTGGGAAGTCAGGAGAATTCTTAAGAATTTATTCATACGTTGTGATGGCTTCCTTAATTTTCTCTTTGCCAATTCTTACTTAAGCATGACCTATATTTTTTTATATTTTGAATCTCATCTCTTTAGAAGTAGCAGGTATTAAGTCTAATGCCATCTTATACATTTTTATTGCAGTAAGATACTTTTTTTATTCAAAATAGATGTTGCCCATATTAACTCTTAATCTTCCTGCTTGAGGGTATTATTTACATTTTATAATTTCTTGATATTTGGTTAGAGCATCCTAATGTAATCCATTTGCATGTAAGGCACAAGCTTATGTTAGGGCAGCACAATAGCTGAGATCAGTATTAATTGATTCAGCTAAATTTTATGCTTCCTTAGATTGTCTTAACTTTTTTTCCTTATTGAATGCTTCTTTTGCTTTTTCTAAACATTCAGATAAGTTTCCCCTCAATTTAGCCATTGCACTCTGTTCTATGAGATTATTAATTTCTTTTTCTATTGATTTAAATTATTCTTCAGGATTAGTTTCAAGTTTTGGTTTATTCAAATTTAATTGATTTTGGGTGGAATTGAATGGGTCCTTCTTCTAACCAAAATTAGCTCCTCTATTGGAGGTCATAGGTCTAGCTTCTGCTTGAGGTTGTCTAGCTGCTGTTCCAAGAGGTTTTCCTCTAGAAGGCTATGGTCCACCAGGTGCGGGTTATTATGCCTAATTTCATTAAAGTGATTAATTACTCTAACATTTTCGAAATTGTAATTATTGACAGGTGGTTTTCCTTAATTGAAATTATTACCACTCATACCGAATGCTCCATATTAGGATGAATTCATATTATATTATTTAAATTTTTATAATAATATACTATCCTGTATATATATTAAATATACAATTTTATTATCAACCAATATATGATACAAATCTATTGTAGTCCATCCTATACTAAGGATTGAAATCTTCATAAATTAGATTTTGCATAAATACATCTTCCCATATACTCTTACAACCTTATTTGACAATGTACAACGGAGCATATTTTGTAAATTTATTGCTTGATTTATTAGATGTAATTATACTATCTTAATTGGGAGATCAGAGTATAGATTCCATTGTGCGATTAGAGGTTATCCTCATTTTGTTTAGTGTCGTATTCCGCATCAAATAGAGTTACTAATTAAGTTGGATCATGTATTCTCTAATTACACATTCAAATACATGCATATATATAATATTAAACAATATCCACAATCCATCAGATAAAGACCTCCACTTGATAACTCAGAGAACACTAAAGATAATTATTCTGGGTACGCGAACTGACCCTCATCATCATAAACACATTAATGTTCTTGTAAACTACTCACATTGTATAATTGTGGTACTAAATAAGTAACTAATTCATCGAAGTGGATATACTGAAATACAATTCTAAAGTAGTTGACATAATCCGTCAAGATACTTTATTAATCATAAGAGTAATTAAATATAATCGATTTCATGATACCTAAAGAGTACGCATACATTTAATCCAAACTGATATTGTATAATTTACAATTATAAAAGATCGATCTAATAGTTGAGATTATGTATTCTTTAACAGGAATCAAATTCTTAGCTGAATTAATTTAAAACAAAGCCATTTTAAAGATGCTCATTGCCAATGTGGATTGATCGATATGAGAGTATATAGTTTTGACAGAATTACTAAGAGGAATACAATAATTATGAACTCTAATTCTTCTCTCGCTTTTCAAGGAAGTATACAATAAAGCAGTTTATATGTAGAGATTATCATAAGGTAGATTCGGTTCGGTTAGTTCTAATTCATAAACTAACACTTTTTAGCTATCAATAATGATCATTAATATTTACTCATCGCAATTATTAATACTCAAAAGATCTGAAGTTTTCACAACATAATTGCCATACACATATTTAATCTTCCATCCAACAGAAGTTCTAACTCTAAATACCGATTCCCAGGCATAATCTCTGCTCAACACTTCTTTTAAGTCATTCCTAAATTTAGTTGCTTTAACATTAATAAAAACTTCTTACTATAAACTGTGGGATCATCATAATAGAACACATCTCCATTTAGATAAGTTGCCAATTGATTGATAGTGTATATGTTCATATAATTATTTGGAACTACAAATATTGATGGGCATATAAATTGAAAATACATACTTTCTGTAATTTGCGTCAATACTGATTTGCTTTTATGTAAATACTATTGTTGCTGCTTCCCATTATCCACAATACTCAATTCTTTAATTGGTGAAGATGTTAAGATAATTAATTTTGCACCATTCTCTTTTATCAATTTTTATGATATCTTCAATGCTTCCATGAATTATGTAGCCTTCTACAGAGGTTTTGAAAATAGTTGACCTAAAGAATTCAAGAATCCAACAATTATATCTTTAGAGTCTTGTAAATTAAATAGAAATTCTCCAGGCATAGGCAATTCATTATCATCTGTTAAAACATACATCTGGGCTTATTTAAGTTTTGAATTGAAATTGTACAAATGAATAGAAGAATCAAATGTCAAAAATCCGAATAGCGTTCTTTCGTTGAATTATTCGCTTATCATCAACTCATTCATCACCTATCCAATAATTCCTAAAAGTGCTTCACTCTTTGTTGAAACATCAATCATAAAAAAATATGCAGGAGCCATAGGTGGTCTTGCCTAATACTCTTATCCAGCCTTGATATCATATGATCCTAATGTTAATTCAATTCTTTAATTTGAATTCTCTTTTGTTATAGTATTGAATCCAATTTAAGTAATCAAATTACATAAGTTGCATCTTAGGTAGTCAAAGTCATCTATGAAATTCATAAATGGATTCAAATATGCTCTACAACTTGCACATCTTATAATAGGGTAGCCTCCATTATTGACTGACACAAATCCATCTTGTACGGATTATCCATACGGTTAAATCATAATAGCAAATGGAATTTTTGCATCGATAAAGGTCTATTTCGACTGTGGGAATATGTTGGATGTACATCTAATATTATTATAGGAAGCATTAAATTATATCTAGACACTATTTTATTTGTTTTGAATATATTCCTCTTCCTTTGCATGTGATTATTATTATTGAGCATATTATGAGTCCAATCTTCCATTCTTTTCTAGAATTTTTTTATGAACATTCATTTCTAAATATTATTAAAAATTATTCAAACTTTCAATTAACAAAACTGAAGTTTCTATTTTTTTAGATCATTCTCTAGAGTAGATTTAATAGACGAGACAGATGATGTGGAAATTTCAATAAGAATCATATATCATTAAAGTATATTTGAAGATAAGATTGTAATAGTTATGGATTTCAATCAAAAAGTATAAATTACTAGTTATAGTAAGAATACATGATTTTCTTAATTTAGAGTAAGTGCAAGTTTGATAAAATCGATATCAAGGTAAGGATTTGATTTTGAAGAAAATGAATTCTTAAGACAATCAATAAAGAAACAAAATATATTCATAATTCATATATTTTATGATTAAAATAGATCAAGAATATTGATGTATAAAATATTGTTAATTAGATCATTTACAATTTTGTAGTTTATAGTTTACAACAAGATAAATCATGTTTTCGAGAAATGCCTTATGGTGAGTTTGTAGGTCATTTTGATTTGAATCAATTTATTCATTTGATTGACTTCTCTTTATAGGTTTTTCTATTTAAAGATCCGGATATTGTACAGACTCAACAATAGTTGACTCTGTGGATTTGAATATTTTAAATGGTTTGATATTTAATTTTATGGATTTAGTTTGATTCAAGAGTTAGGCTGGACTTTCTAAAGCATCCTCAGGTATTACATCAATAGTTTGCTTAAATTTATCTGTTTGATTAAATTCATCAAGGTAGGTTTTTCTGGGCATTCGTTTTAACTTGATATTGGTTTCATATCTGATATAATGTGTTTTTGGGGATGACAATCTTGATAGCTTTCTTTAAGGGCGAGTTTCTTCTTTGATGGTTTCAGATTATTCCTCCAATTTTTGTTATTATTTAAGTTTATTAACCTCAAAGATGAGTTTAGAGAATTTGCTGGTTGAGTTTTTTAGTGATTATTGTGATGATCTCTTTTCTTATTTATTCTGTAGCAATTACACAAATTTACTTTTTAATTTATTCTTTTTTTCTTGTTCTTTTAATTGTCTCACATTTTCAGCATGAATTTCAGCATTATAATTTTATAATCTTGCAATAGATCCTAGATTTGAATATGGAACAAAATTAGTATACTCTTTAATTGAATCTGTTTTGAAGGAATCTTTAATTCTGAAGGTTGTTAATTTATTCTTTTTGAAGGAGTTCAAATATTTTTCAAGAGTATAAAGATCAGAGGTGATTTGTTGAATGGCTGCTTAATTTTTTGATAAATTATTAAAGGTTCTTGATTTCTTTCTCAATCTCCTTTTGGAATTTATCATCAATTTAATTTCATCATTATATTTTTCAATAATATTTATTCTATCATATTTGTTGATAACATAGTGAGTATTAGGACAATATTTGGCAGTGTGATTAACTGCAGAACATACGTAACATTTAATATTCAAACCTTCCAATTTCTATTCAAATTCAATATTAAATTTTAATTAAAAGAATTGTTCTAGATCTTCATTTTAACATTGCTCTAAAAATGCTTTTCTTGAAAGTCGAAATAAATTGATGAAATTTCTGGCTTTAGCAGATGCACATCTAGGAACATTGGCAAAAAAGGAGATCTCTCCAAAGTATTATTTTTTGGTCAATTCTACAATATCATTAACTCCTTTAGTTTTAGGATAACATATTTAAACTCTTCCATTTAAGATAAAATAAATGGAGGTAGAATCGTCAATAGGATCATCATTTTTAATTATCCAATCTTCAGGGTTATATACTAATTTATTATAGTTAATACCTTCATCTTGAAATATAAATGCTAGTTTCTTTAAGATGAGTGGGGAGAAATTCTTTCTTAAGAATTTAATCTAACTCATCATATTCCCATGCACCAATTGAGTCACTTGATTTTTTAAGGGCAATGATAATTTCTCTAAAGTGTTATGTGCATATCCTTTTTGCAATTATTCATCTTCTATCAGCCATTCTAGGTAATTCTTGATTCTGGCTTATAGGGATTTATTAATGCATTTGTGTTTTAAGTATCTAATAAAATATAATTATGATTTTAAACTTTTTGGCAGAATCGTTTTTGATTAATAATTCTTCTAGAGATTCGTTTGTATTCTAAAATAGTAAGACAATAGAATTCATCACATATCCGAATACTCCAGAAGCCAAGATCATCACAAACACACCAAAAGACCTTTCTATTGTATTTTTTGGCGAGATGTCTCCATATCCAATTGTGATCATAGTAGTTATGCTTTATTTCTGATATAAAATGAGATATACCTAAAATAAATTCCTGCTACATATTGATTGAACCAATAATTTGGATCATTGTCCAATTCTTAATCATAATTACTAACATATTATGTGTACCAATCTTATTCATTTTGTTAAAGCAATCTGATGGCATTCCATATACATGCTAGCCAATGTGATAAACAGAGAATGATAAGACAGATCTTTAAGAACTGAATAAACGAAGTTATAGATTTATCCAATGACAAGGAATCCTCAATTTGGTTAATAATCTTTTTTAGCTTCAAAGCCCTCATCAATCGAATTACCTTAACAAATCTCAGAATCCTCATTATTTTTATAATTTATGTGTTTCTTTGCACATCCTTTTAATTGGATTCCTCTAAAGTGAGAGAGATTATTCCATCGTAAGGGAATGAAGATATCAAATCTAACCAAAACCACAACTTTAAATAATTTATTGCTATCTTCCTTCTTTGATTGATATAATTACCTCTAACATATTTCTATATAATTTACTTATTGTAGTAACCTGTCTAAAATTGCAATACAATATCAACAATAAAATAATAATCCATTATGTTACTAAATATGCTAAATCCATCATCCATATCCAGTCCAAATGTCAAAATCAATGGAATCAGTATCATCTATATAAAAATGAATCCCATTCCTATCAAATCCCAAATGATCTTTTTAGGTTCTTCTGGTCGTATTATGTTAAATATTCTGCACCTTCCCCAGTCTTTATTTTTGCCCTCAGTCTCTTCCAATTTCTTAAGTTGTTCTGGATCTACATACTGCTGCTCCTTTAGTAAAGTTATCTGAGTTTTGTTATAACTCCAAATTTCAAATTTAAGTTCACCGTATGATTGATCACCTTATTATATTTAAACCATACCTATCAATCGTAAACTTTCATCTTAAAGATAATTTTCTATTTATTTGCTATGCAGGCTAAGTCTTTTTATTACATTTTATTTTTTTGACATCCTATTTATAAAATATTATATCTAAAATACAATAAAAATAATCAAATCAACAAATTATCAAATCCAATTGAGTAGTTGTCCTCATGTGAAATTCTAGATTGAATTCAAACTCATTTCGAATTAATCTGCAAATCTGCAAATCTAATTTGAAGCATTTACAAGTTCCTCTTTGACAGCCCATCTAGAAGCTATATATTATTGTTGCAATTGAATTACTGATTTTCCTTTGAATTATTAAATCTCTGGTCGGTGAAGTACTTTAAACAAAACCTTTCGGCATATTAATCTAAATAATATTCTACATTCTTTGATTATTAACTATTTCTACTCCAATTCCTTTACAGTTTTCATTCTAGTATTTAAATCAAGTATAATACTATTTTTACATATAATCATTATTCAAGCAACTTTTCAATTTTATCCCTATTTAAAACATCTAAATACAAAATACACTACCGATAAAACTTACTTCCGTTCTTATTGCTATTATTCTAATTTGTGTTAATAATGCAAGATCTCATTTCTTATTAGCTACTCTGCCCATTCGAGATTTACTGAAATCCTCATATCGAATTTAATTATTCTAAGAATAAATCTTACCATTCAGTTATTATTCTTAAATCTTGAATTTAGTGTAATCCTAACACATAGGTCTATTAGAAGCTTCCTACTTTTGAATGTAAATTGTTTTATTTGTTATATTAAAGTTTATCTAGGGATTTGTCTTCTAGAAAATAGCCGATTTTAAACAAAAGTTGAGATTGTCAATTTCAAATTGACAGCATTTTTTTAGCATTCAAGAATGATTTAGGATCTAATTGATCTTGAATGTTTCAGATGGAATATACTTGAAGATTATTCCTGTCTCTAAATGGAACATTCCCATGTAAAAGTTCATCTAATAAGATATGAGAATATGATATGGCTTATATCATATAGCCATAAGGGCTCTGCAAACTCTGAGCACTCCAACCAAAATTTTCGCATTTCCTTCATTATCTTATGGATTCAATTTATATGATTTTCGAATTCTTCAAGTTTCATCAGAAATTTACAGTTGCTATAGAAATATATATTTTTATTATAATTCAATAATATGTACAATAATATTGTTACAAAAGTGTTAATTGTGATAATAAAAATTAGATAATCAGTGCAAATTAATGTTATTGCCTGCTGAAATGATTTTCATATTTTTTTTTTCAATTACATTTCGATTCCTTTTATTATTATTTCTTATTTTAAAGATACTTCTACTATATTATAAGTTATTCAACCCATAGAAACATCTAACATTCAAATCTTTAGTGATAAAATATCTTAGGTACCGACATCATCAATTGGCTTAATCAGCTATTATGCTCCAAAAAGCTAACTATATATTAGAGATCAGAACTCACATCCTAATTAACTGTTTATTTACGGTCATCAAAGTTGTATTAATTCATGAAAACGATTTAATAGACTGAAAATTTATATGTCATTGTATTTAACTATTTAAAAATAATTCTTTTTGATCATTTTTAAACAGTTTTTGAATAGTTTTAAAAACCTTCTAATAAGTCTCTTTAATATAGGTATCTTATTCAATAATCTATTATTTTGCAGCCATTATTTTATTTTATATTATTGTAAAATAGTTCCTTTTGCTAATAAAGATTCATATCCATTCTTCAAATTCACATCGTGATTAGAAGACCTTAAAGTTTAATTGATTAAAAGATTGAAAATATTAGAATAAATTTTGGTAATTATACATTCTAAAAATAAGCGTAATTCTATTATAAATAAATTTCATCAATGCTTTCATCACAGTAATAAAGAAACATATTTATTCAAGGGAGAGGATATGAAGTTGTTGGAGAAATGGAGCAACAAGGTGCTCAATCAATTAATTATTATGCAAAATGCAGTGGAAATCCACAAGAACAGGTTATTATAAAATAATACAAAGAAATCTAATACAATGAAATAGAATTGCTTTACAAAATTCAAAAAGAATAAAATGATGATAAGTCTAAAAGCACACATATAATTAAAATACTTGAAATTCAACCTTCTTCATAATAGAAAAAATAGATAAATTTTCTAATTGTAATAGAATAAGGTAAAAATAATTTATAGCACTTGATTTATAATAATAAATCTTTTAATTTAGTTTAGAAATTTAAATTATTTAAATAAGTAAATTAAATTATATTGTTAGATGATTAAAGGAGTTAAGGAATTACATGCTTTAGGATACTGTCATAGAGATTTGAAACCAGAGAACTTTGTATATTTTGAAAATTAAAGAAAAAGTTATACAGTCAAGTTAATAGATTTTGGTTTAGCTAAGAAAGACTCTACAAGACTTAAAACATTGCAGGTGGGGACTTGGACTTATATGTCGCCTGAAGTTATGATAGGAGAAGGTAATTATGATAAGACTGCTGATGTTTGGAGTCTTGGAATCATACTTTATTAAATGCTAACAACAGAATATTTACTAAAAGGTTCTAATTTATTTAATTTTTAGCTAAAAATCAAAAAGATTTAATGTTTTAGATGCATGCTTTAACTTAGGTCTAGATAAATTTGACAATAGATTAAACCAATTGTATGGGATAATAAGAAAAGGAAATAATCAAATCAATGTTATAAAAAGAAAGTTAACATAGATGTAATTTGGATATAATATTAAACAAAATAGACGAACTTTTAAAAGAAATTAAGGAATAAGAGTAAAAAGAAATACAATAATTTAAAGATCAAAAATAATAATGTATTGTTCAGTTAAAAGATATCAAAAGTACAATTAGGAATATCATTTAATATCTAACTGATAAATAAAAAATAATTAATCAAATTAATTTATAAAATCATACAAAATAATAATTGTTAACCTACATTAATTATGAAATTTAAAAATATGAAGAGATTTTATTAAAAAATGAATAACAATAAAAATCGATATCAGAAGCATAGACAAAAGAGATGCTAAAGGAATATAATAATAATGAACTAACTGAAGAAAATGAATAATATTAAAAATATCAAAAGGGGATAATTGAAAAAATAACAGAAGAATAAAGTTAACTTCAATAATAGTTCAAGGATAAAGAATAAGAGTAGAAAATTAGAATAGAATTAGAATACAGATTTAAACAAGAATAGATATTGAAAATGGAATTAGAATAGAAACTGAAAATTGAATAAGAAGAGAAATTAAAAATAGAATTTGAATAGAAATTGAAATTTGAACAAGAATAAAAATTGAAAATGGAATTAAAATAGAAACTGAAAATTTAATAAGAGGAGAAATTGAATATGGAATTAGAATATCAATGTTATTTAAATATTGTTAAATAATTATTAAATTAATAATCTCCTTAAATTGAATTAATTTAGGACCAAATTAACTTTTATCAGATAATATAAATGTAAATTTTAGAAGAAAAAAAGATTTAAGATGTTATTAAATATTATCATCAAATAAAATAAGATATCTAAACAGTGGAATTTTAGGAGAATATAATTTAGTCATATGAATCTTTGCAATAATAAATCGCTACTTATTAATCATGTAATAGCAGGCTTGAAGAAATTTAACAAGATTAAATTAGATTCAAAGCTTAAATTGAAGAAGCAATTAAATGTATTTAGTAAATAGATAGACAGTATTTGGATAACCATCAGTAAGAAATAGAGGAATTATACAATGAATTAATTGATTATTAGGAAAAATATCAATATTTATCTAAAAATTAAAAATATTCAAATTAAATAACTTAAATAATTAATCAGATAGGACAAGCTTTTAGTGACTTAGATAAACTAAAGTAATTAATATTTAAAAAAACATTGCCAGCATATTAAGAGTACTCTCAAATAAATGAATAAATCTAAAAATCCTTAGCGTGCATTGAAAAATAATATAGTTAATTACATTAACAAATTTACAATGATGAACTTATTGAGTTAAAAAATCAAGAAAGAATTAAAAAATTAGAAATCGCAAAAGATTAATTAGGTAAATTTAATTTAAAAATGACTTAATTAAAAGATCAAGCAAAAAATCTCATCAAAAATGAATATTGTAATAACGAAAGAACTTAGGATTTTATAAATATAAGATTGACAAAGATTGATTAAAATATAATGTAATAATAAGAGCAATTTGTTAAGTTTACTCATTTGAATTTATTAGATTTTTGTGAAAATATTAATGGCTAAATGAAATAATTGGAAGAATTTTAGGGATAATTAAAGGAAGTAGAATTAGATGAATAAGAAAATATAAACCAGTTAGAGTTAATAATTATAAATGCAGGAAAAGAAAGCAGAGAAAAAGAAATTCTTACTCTAAATAATTAATTATAAACTAGGTATAGAGAATATACAAAGGCTCTGTAATCAATCAAATTGTAATCTCAGGAAGTTGAATGTTATAAAAAAATGAATCAAACAAAAGAAAATCTCCAAAAAGAATTGGAGTAAGAAATAAGCATTTTGAATTAGTATTCATAGATTTATTAAGAAAATATGCAACTATTGTCAAATGAAAGGTTTAACACATAGCAAAAAGAAATAAAATCAGACAATATAAAAAGATAGAAGTCTATCCAAAATATTCAAAATATGCTCAATAATTTTTAATAAACTAGCCAATAAAAAGGATAGAAGTTAGATTATATAATTAAAAATGTATCCCAAAAATAATAAGAATTAAATTTTTGCTTAATTGATGATAATCTAATTAAGAATTATGAATAGCTAAAAATGAATGAAGAGCAATTATCAATAGAATTAACTTCAATAAACTAAAAGATATTTAATTAATAATAAAACTCTTAATAATTGTATGAATTAAAAGAACATATTCTAAAGGTCTTTGCTGATATTGATGAATCAATGAAGAAAATTCCAGAAGAGGAAGAAATAGAAAAGTTCAACAATGCTTTAATTTAAAATTTGGAATCATTTGAGAAAGTGTATGCTTTAATTAATTTTATAAAATAATATCACTTAACACGATATTATGAAAGAATTAAAGTTAATGCAAATTAATAAAAGGCATATTAATAGAATGAAGAATATTATAAAGAACTTTAATCTAAATTAAACTTGGATTAAGAAGAACACACAAAAAAAGAGAAAGCTGCTTAAGATATATTATTAAGATATGAAAATGTGTTATTTAAAAACTACAAAAGTATGACGATTCAGGCAATGGAGAAAGATAAAAAATAAATAGAAAAACAGATTGTAGAACTAGAAAATTAAATTAAACAAAAAAGCCTAGTGAAATTAAGATCTAAATTGAAAGATTAAAACAAAATTAAAGAGATCATTAATATTAGATAATATTATAAAATAGCTGAGTTTACATAAATGCTTATATATAAAATTATAATGAGTTCAAATAATGAGAATGCACAATAATAGCAATCCAAAAAATATTGAAATAAATAATTTAAATTATCAAATAATTTAATTTCTAACAAGCATTTTAACAAAGAAATATTATTTATTAATAATCATTAATCCAAATTTAAATTCTTTTAGATATGTTTATCAAAATTGTTAAAATTCAAAGATTACAATAATAAAATTAGTTATTTCGTTCTTCCAGTGTTAGTAATAGAATTAATGTTTTCGAGAAAAATATATTGAAAAATGATTTAGAATTTCAATTTATATTATAAACTGTATATATATTGATTTAGTATATAAGATTTGGTTCATCGTATTTTAAATCCTGTATATTTAAGCTTTTAATTTGCTGAGTAAGAATCTAGTGTATGCTAGTTTTATTATATAATTTTGATTAAAATATAAATATTTATATATTAATACTAATTTAATTCATTAATAATAAGATAATCATATTTACTTGATAATATATATTGTATTAATCGTTTCACCGATTTTGTATTACATTACTCATTCTCTTCAATTAATTTATAAATTAATAAAATATGTATCTTATATTTCTTTTATCAACCTTGTATATTGATTATATAGAAGATTTTCTTTTCCTAACATTGATTGATTATTGCTATAATTGTTTTGAAAATTGTATTATTCAACTACGCAATTCATCATTTGGTTGAACACAATAATCTATTATAGAAGCGGCTTCTAACTCTTCCACTTGGTTTAATTAGGAAAATATGAATTTAACTACGAATTTAACAATTAATGAAGAAATTGACTACATAATTGATTGATCAATATATTCAAATTTCTTAGGACTAGAAAAGAATTTTAATTAATTCTTAACAAATTTTAAATTACGAATTAATGTGAATTTTTATATCCTTTAAATATGGAGAGGTATAAAGTGAATTAGTTCTGCTCCAGTGAATGGTAAATATAATTAATTTTATAATCTCTCAATTTTATTTTTCTTTTTGATTAATTTTCTTTATTGTAATGCAAATATTTCTAAAGTCAAAATGTTAATCATAAATTGTGTTGAGACAAGCGCTATCATAAATAATACGATACACATAAAGATAATTGATCAATTTGGGAGAATTATAAATTGGTGAACCACCCATTACATCGATCTTTAATATTGTAATTTAAAGTAGTTTTAAAACCACAAATTCATCAATTTTCCCTGGCAAATTTGATAATTGATGCTTTAAAAGAAATTTTGCATATAAATTAACTTTTTATACTTAACTAAAATATATAGTTCTAAACTTTTTCATCCGTAAAAAAGTCTATTAATAAGTTTGAAATAGTTTTTTACTATTTATACTTAATTATGCAATAAATGTGAGACCTAAGGATCTTCGATATTTAGGATAATGGTATTCTTTTTTAAAAAATTTTCTCCTGCTTATGCCCAATTTTTTTCATCATTTAAGTGTTTCTTTTTAAAACCATTGCTTTTAAAATATTCAAAAATTCTTTAAAATAACTACTTAATTATTTGATTCGTTCATGTAAGTTTAATAAAATAAAATTCTATCAATTAATTATTTGATCATAAATCATGGTTAAAAATTGTTTGATAAAAAATATATAAAATAGTGTTTAAAAAATATTATAGATGCTGAAAAATTTGATTCAGTTATTTTGATATTAATAATAAATGTTATCAAAAGTAGTTTTATAATTTATTTGAAAACAAATATATACAATATAAATAGATACCATATAAATGTTTATAAATTTGATAAATTTTATTAAGTGAATAATAATTCGATCCTAAAACTAAAAAGTTAGCGATATGAAAACTACATTAGTAATTTTTAAAGAAGAGTTTAGAATCTAATCATGACCTACTATCTTAAAAACTAAATATATGCAAGTTAAATCTATTATAATTATTCTTAATAATTTATTTATTCTATTTTAATAGCATTTGATGCCTAATTTTCTAATATCATTCTTATACATCTAATGAAAAACATAATGATAGTCTTTAATAATCACTACTATGAAATAATTTTGTTTCCCATTAATTTAAATAATATCAATACCGTTAATCTAGTGAATTATTAATATATAGTTGAGATTAGATATAAGGTGACATAGGGATATCAAGGGTTTCTAACTTATGAAATTTCCTTTTTAGGAAGACTATTCCAAAAGTTTAATAATATAAAATAAATAATGAACTCATACTCTATTCTAAAGACAATTAATAATTTTGATTATTTATAATTATATAACCTATTCAAAAAAATTTAAAATTTTCACGAATCTGTTGCAAAAACATTTCCATATCAATGTTATCATAATATTCATAAAATTTGCTAAAATCCGAAAATTCTTTATTTTATCTGAAATATGCCAATGGGCTCAAACAAAGTTATAAATATTTTAAGGTTTGTAAATATAATCGATTTTCGGTTAATTTTTGGTGTTGGCAAACATACTCATACATTTATTTGATACAAAGCTTGAGAGTTTTCTCGTAAATTTTATTAAAGTTTAAATCTGATTATTGATTATTAGTCATGATTGAAAGGAATTCTTTTACATCAATTTTATCTTACCCATCTATTTTTTCTTATTGTATTTAATTAGTTAAAAAGTTGTATGGTTCGTTTAGTTATTTCCTCCATAATATGCTTTCAGATAATAATTTATCTGTTTTTAATATGCCTTCCTAAAGTTGTAAAATACTATTAAATTTTTCCTTATAGAGGCCTTCCAATCTAAATCAGTGAATCCCATTACCAATTGGTGTCTAAAATAATAAGTTTATCTTACTTTACTAGCCATAATATTAATTAAGTCATCAAATATTATCATTTGTGACTTTTAGAGGTTGAACATAATTCTATAAAACAAATGAGTAGATATATTTAATTATTAATCTTTAAATAGCTAGAATACATTATTAGTTGTTAAATTAACAAAGATACCAATGTTTCTCATAAGAGAAAGATGTGCATCAATTTTGTTAATTGTAATTTGCTCTTATAACTTTTTAGTTTAAGCTTCAATGATATCATTATAAGTTAATCCTTTAAGATCGTCCAAATTTTATTAGGAGTTATCTTTTTATTCTATATTCATGCTATCATCATCGTTTTTAACTTCAAACAACACTTAGGTTTCTTGGTTTTTTCCTTAAGCAAGGATAAGATTGTTATCCACATAAAATCTATTCAATTATACTGATTGTTCTAAAGTATCTTAGACACTATCTATAATGAGATTGAGTTTATTTTTAAGTTCTTGACTGTTGCATTTAATTAATTCATTTTCAAACAAATCATACCAGTTTATTCTTTGTTCTTCATCAATGACTAACATTTTAGAAATGAGATCTTTAATTATTTGTTGTCGTTTAGGTTGATTTGGGAAAGTCAGTGGTTTTTTTTTTATTTAATCTAATAATGCTAGTTAGCTTGTGGCTGTCCAAGGAGGGTGCCCATAAAGCATTTCATAAAACATAATTCCAACAGACCAAATATCACATTTAGAGTTAAATTTTCCTTACTCCAAAATTTAAGGAGACATATAAAGAGGAGTACCAAGCAAAGTGAATTTCTCTTAGCCTTCCATATCTTCCACAACTCTTGCAAATCCAAAATCGCTAATTTTAGCGATACCTATTTTCAGCTTATTTGATACCATTATGTAATAAAATGTTGGCCGGTTTAATATCTCTATGTATAACATTTTCCTAATAAATGGCTTTAAACCCATAAATGATTTGTTTGAAATAAGTAACAGCATCTTATTCGGAGAGGTATCCTCCTTTTGATTTCATCATATCTTTAAGGTCTCCTCCATTGCAATATTCTAAGAAAATATAGTAATTCTTCTAAGTTCTAGCTGCATGAAATAACCTTTAAATTAGGAATGAATTTACTGTACTATATATTGGCTTCTTATTTTTGACAGTATTTTCAATTTCTCTCCTGATGTTTCTTATGAAATTTTTTTATTTGTGCCTTCCGTCATTGGTAGCATCTTAACAGCAACAATTAATTTAGGATCACTTTCTTTATAACCCCTAAAAACTGATCCAAATGCTCCCTTAATGTAAAAAATGATAGATTTACTGTTCCTAGTAATTTATTGGTCACAACATATCCATCAATTAATTTATGCTCTGCCATAATTTGTATGAAACAATAAATAAAGATAAATTAGAAAAATCAAAACTTATTTTATATGATGATATTAGTTAAATCATAACAATTAATGTAGATCCTATTCTTATTTTTGTAATTTCTTTTCTTTAATATAGTTTTTTGGTATTTACTTCATCCAGTGTCCTGTAAATGGATCTTTCAATTAAATATAAAAGGGCTTTAACAACTCGAAATTAAACTCACACAGTTTAGGATCTCTGTTAATACCAAGTCTGCCTTATTTATTGTAATTTTTTAAAGCTAGCTTTCTAAAGTGTTATCGAATATTAGCTTATTATTCTATCCTATTTTAGTGCTTTTCTTTTTAGAAATTTGTATTGATATCCATTTAATTTTAATTCTTTATTAAATATTATTTATTTTGTATTACAATAAATAAATCGATTGTTATTATCAATCATAACAGAACTCATTAAACAATTAGGTGTTATGAGGATTATTGAAATGGTAGCTTTCATCAAGATTATCAAGTGAATATCTACGAATTCTGAGTCTTTAGGATTCTTCACAAAGATAATCTTATTATTCATCTTGATCTTAAATGATGGGAAGAGGTTCTAAGGTCAATTATTAATAAAACCTTGATTAGGTCTTAGTTCTGGAGTAAAATACTGTATAAATTAGTTGGTATCGTTCAATTAAATTTGGGTTTCAGTAGCTAGTATTATATAATTTAATATTTGATACTCCATTTTTTTTTGTTTTTCTTTAATCTTCTCTGTCCAGCTGGTGTATAAGGGTTAAATTTTTAATGATGAGATCTATTGATTAATAATCTACATGATTGTACCTGCATTAAGAAGGGGAACGAGTTCCAATGATTTCAGACATTAATTTAAAGATTTTGTTATTTTTTCTATTTTATTGATTTTACATAGTTGTATCATGATGTTTTTCAAGAAATTCCACATATGTCTAATGTTCCTCAGGCGTCCAATGACCACTATTATGTTTATTATTTAATTCTAATTCTTTATTGATTTTCTTTTTGATAGAAACACTTGAATATTTTTTAGCCTATTTCTAAGCCAAATGATTACTTTCGGAGTTGAATTACATTCTATATCATTGTTGAGCACCGAGTTACTAAATGTTTCTAATGTGTCACTTTATTTTAGGTCTTCATTTGAGATGTGAGAGGAAGAAGGGGAATTAAATGATCCCTAGGGCATTCTCTGCATCTCAAAATGATATAAATATTAATATAAAGCGCTCTTGTATGTTGGCACAATAACTTGTATATAATAAAGACTTCGAGAAACACCCCCTTATTATAATATATAATTTTATAAATTTAATGAATTATCAATTCCTCATTTGATTATTTATTTTTAAAATAGTATTATAATAATTGTAATTGGATAAAGAAAATATATATAATTTAATCAATCTTAGAATTATGATAAATGATTTTTTGCCTATTTAAGTCTGTACTAATTTTTATCCTAAATAATATGTCCTAATAAGGAAGGCATCATATGATATTGTTTATTGTTAAGATGATATATCAAGTTACTTATTTCGTGTTCTTCATCTATAATTTCATTTTGACTTTCTTAAGATTTAAGCAAAGAATTGGCATCTTATTACTAGTGGAATGGACTATGTTCAAATTGCTAAATGGATGTGGCACATTCTAATTTATTTTTTTTCACCTAAACATTGACCTAAAATGATTTTCTTCTAATATCTTGTTCACTTTATTCAACCATTTCTATGATTGTCTTCAAACTTGGCAAATTCTTATTCATAGATTGGATCCTTTATGATTTTAGTTTGTCCCTTGTATTAATAAACCAAGCATGTTTGAGAGCATCATTAACAGAAATCCTTTTATCAGGATCATTATCGGTCATTTTTTTAATCAAGTCCAATTAACAAGCGCTAAAAAGGTTGGGGAAATCTGAATCTTGGCATTTTTAGAAGTTGATTTCTTGTTATTTGATAAGTTCTTTTCTACTTTAGTACATTTTTGAAATATATTATCGATTAAAGGTTTATCCTTTAGAGTAAAAGCTCACTAATAGAAAAATTATTCCTAATTAATAAATATCTGATTTCACAGAAGGTACATGTGATTATGATAGAATTTCTGGAGCTATCAAATATTTAGGAATAAAGTTTAAATAAAAATCTAAATTATTTTCATTATAAGGCTATAAAATAGTTTCATTATATTTTACCTTATAGTTTGAGTTAATCAAGTAAACTTACAAAGATCCCAATACATTAGCCATTATTATATTCTCTAAGCAAACATAACCGTGAAATAGTTCTTCTTCTTATAGACTTCTTAAAGACTACAGTACAGAGAAGATAATAAATGCTAAATCAGATTGAGGAATAATTGTTTATGCACTTAGTAACAAGGTTTCGAATGTTGTTCCAACAAATTAATAAGTAATGATTGAGATGCTTTCGTTATCTTCAAAAATACTTAAAACTGGGTAGTAATTAATAATTTTTCCACTTCTAAGAATTTTAATATAATTGTTGATGATTTCATATTAATCTTAATCATGAATATCTCTTTTCTTAATGATTTACGCAACAAATTTTTTATTCTTCCTTCTTTGAAGAACTGAAAAAATATTTGTCATTATCACTTATTGAATTCGATATTTTTAAAGAAAGTTATTTTATTTAGCTGATAATTTTAGTATCTTAAACCATTCTCTTTATGATACGGGATGAGCAAATACAAGTATGAGGTGACCTTAGTTATTTGTGATTTTAATTAAAAATAGTTAGCTTTAATGACAGAGAAATTTTTGTTTTTCAACAATACAATCGCATAAAAACAAACATCTTTATTTCTGAAATATAAGCATTCCTTCTGCTATTTGCAAATAAGGAAATTCAATTTGATTATTAATGATAATATGACAAGCTCCCTATATATCATACTTTTATATTTCTATATTAAGGTCTATGAAAGCCATTTACAAAATTGAGGATTGCAGTTAATGACTATTAGGAAATTTTAACACCCATGATAAATTAACATTTGATTCATTGATTTAAATTTTCTACAAAAGTTCAAAATCTATTTTATTCGCCTTATTTTGTTTCATTAATACAGTATATAATTATATTCCTAGGAATTATAAAGATTAAATGATATAAAATGAGAAATCAAATTTGTAAGATGGTTTTAGTGTGAAAGTTTATGTAATTTAATTCAATAATGATTTTATATCAATTTAATATTCATACTATTTAGGTTATTAATAATTATATGCTATAATAAATGCTGCCATTGTTATTCTTAGTGTCACTTGCAAAATGTTAGTCCTTATTAGAGAATTTAGATGTTTCATGTAAACAAGATTGCAAGGATATACATGTAACATTTAATAACTAATCATTAAGGTAGTCAAAAATGGAAAAGTGTATTGGAAAGAAGAAACCTTAGTCGATGAATAGAAAGAGTTTCTACAATTAGAAGTATTCATCATTTCTACTTAATAGTTTCAAAACTTACAACCTAAATAGCCAATAAATCTTAAACTTGAATTGACAGAATCAGTTTCCAAAAATGAATCCTTTTTTGAATTTCATCCATCCTAAATAAACAATTTGACAACATAAAAAATCAACATTATCTTCAAATGTCACCAAGATATTGCACTCTAATTTACATTAAAAGTGGAGATAATTAATAGTACCAATCAAACTTTAACTATACCATTCACAAAACAATGTAATGAATCATACTTTGATCATTCTAAGTATTCCGTCTACTTAAAAGACTTAAATAATGAAAATATTTCAATTTAATGGGATAATAGTAAACCTTAATTACTATAAAATATTTCTACTGTTTTTGAATTCATACCTCCGATTAACTGTAAATATACTCAACTCAATATCTAGAAACCATCTATATATAGGATGTTTAATTAAATATTGATAATAATAATACTAAAAGTGCCAAAGACTTGATCAAGAAATATTATCTTGATCCTCCTTTAGCTTATGTTAGTAACAGTAAGAAATTGGTTATCCAACCTGAAATTACATGTAATAACATTTCTAATGAAAAAAGTAATCAATTTATAAAAATAATAGTATTATTCCATTTAAAAATCAAAACTTTGAAGTTTGAAGAACCATTTTTGATTTACTTCTATAAATTATGCGATAAGTAAGACAAGGATCTAGAAAATAATTAAGAATTCCCAATCTATATCGGAACAAAAAAAAATACAAATGAGTTGTTCAGAGCAGGAGTATCCCAAAATGACTACAATTACTCTACCAAATCAATAGCTGAAAGTACTAATGCTTTCTAAATGTTTATTTATTTTAAAACAAAAGATACACAAACAATTTAATAGAGACTCTTTCCAAACGGCTAGAAAATTGATATTGATATAATAACTAGAGTGAAGGATGAGGAGATTCTAAAAATAAAACATCAAAAAAAATTACAAATGAGTAATGTAAATGACAGAAAATAGATATTGCTATATTTTGACTGTTAACAATAAGGTAATTCAACTGTTTATGTGGATATCATTTTTAATTATCTAGATGATTCTCATAAATAGGCATCATTTTCATTTAATAAATTTTGTGCTAAGACCATTTAAAAATAAGAAAAAACCTTATTTGGAGAGATTATCTATTACTTCATTTGTATTGTTGCCATGCTTTTTGGAGTCTAGACTATTCGTTTATTTACTAGTAAATTTGATTAAAACCTAAATAGATTTAATAAAGTAAGATGCTAATGTTCCTGAAGTCACGATAGACACTTCTTATAAGAGAGGTTATAGTAATATTGAAGAAGAGAAATAAATTGAATTGTGACATTTTGTGTTTATTAAATTATTGAAACCAATTTCTTATATTATAAAATAAACTGAATTTTTACACGAAAACAAAGCTGTCATTGGCTTACTACTTTTATCTACGATAAACTCAATTTATAGAAATATCTATTATATATAATATAACAAAGGAATATATTTTGATTTACAGCAAAATCTTGTGAGTAGAATTTGTAAAATTGCTAATTATAATTATTATCAATAACACTAATTAATTTAATTAAATATCTGGAATATTAGTAACTGTTTAAATTCTAAAAAATTATAAATCTGTTAGTTCATTATATAATATTATGAATGTTGGAATTTTTAATATTAGGAATTGTTTGGCATTGTCGAGGGGTGTAGATTATTATTTATTATAATAGGAATATTAATTATATTTAAGTAAAAATAGAATTTTTGATATTTAATAAACTAACAAAAATTTAAATAAATTCATTATAACTTGAGTTCATCAAGCTCTTATTTATTATATGTGGAATTGTAAAATTTACTTATATATTTGAGATGATTTTTGACATCCTATATTTTTTCACTTATCATAAGATCATGTATTATTTAAAATCCGGAGAAATACTCTCTGGATATGTCTGCTGCAATAGAATCATTGAAAAGTCTAGTGAAATCCTGTCTAGAGAAATTCTTTTTGTGTTCTCCATTCTTTAAGAATGCTTTGATTGCCTAATTATCTACATTTTTACTACCTAATAAAATAAGTTTATTGAGTACATAAATATTTTTTCAACAATACTCCGAAATTTTTGGGTATGTTTTTTGTTTCTGACTTTTGTGGTAATTGTTTATCTTTGTTTTTCTGGATTTTTGCCTTTTTATTAATTTTTAAAGATTGTGAATAATAATCATATGAGCCTTCAGTTGATATAGATGAGCGCTAATTATCTTCAACTTTGAGTTCTATAATACATTCAGTGTATGTTTCATCTTTTACATATCTTCTAAATGAGGAATTGGGATTGCAATAGTTAATTGATGGGTATTTGAATGTTTGATTATGCTATTAAATCATTTTGAATTTATATATATATTTATTTATATTCACAGCATAAATTCTATGAAAAAGTAAAAAGTAATGAATTCGAAAAGGAGATTATATTCTATTAATAATGTTTATATAAAAATATTACACCCAGTATTAATCTTACATACTATCAAAGCAGTGCTAAATGAATACCATTGAGTGCTACTATTGAAAAAATAGGGTTTTTAGCAGACAATAATTTTATTATAATATTAAGAAGATTATAATAAATTAAAAAAAAACATGACTCATTAATTATCAAACATAGAAAAAATAAAATAGTAACTTCATCTTTAACATTAAGTTAAAGAGATACTTGCAAAAGAATATGTAGATTTACAAGACAAAGAGCATTTTGAAGTATTATAATATCAATAATAAGGTAATTGTTGGAGTTTTGGAGAAACCCAAAAAGTTGAGAAATGCAAACGATTTATAATTGTTAGCAATGGCCTTCTCATCAATTAAATATTTTTAAGAGATGAGCAAGACCACCAGTTAGGATGAAATGCTTAATTTATTTAGAGTATAAGTATTACTTCATGAAGGAATTGCAATATATAGAAGTACCTGCCAGAAGAACTTTATTTCGTTTGGGAGATATAGGAAAGAACTTCTATATAATTTTGAGCGGTTCAGTCTGGGTATTTCAAACCTTCATCATTTTAGGTGTTGGTTGCCAGATCCGGTTTATAAAGTGGTACATTCTCAAAAAAGGATGAGAACAATAAAGATAAAATCGATATAGATGAAGGAACCTTTTAAGTAAATATATAATTGAAGTTCAATTTAGGATGAAAATGAATTCATCGAATTGGATGATGAAAGTATGCTTGTTTAAAAATATCCAAATTTAATGAAAGTTGGTTAAATAGCTGCAGGAGGCAGTTTTGGTGAAATAGCTCTTACTAACTTTATCCCAAGACAAGCTACCATCGTTTGCAAGGAGAATTCCCAATTCATCACTTTATCAAGGGAAGCCTTTAATAAATTTCTATGTATAGAATAATCAATTATAGAATTATAGCTGAATATTACAATCGAATTCAATAGAAGAATTTTGAGTTTCTCAAATCAATTCAGATATTCAAGGCATGGAATGATGCAGAATTAAGTTAAATGTAATATCATCTTCAGCCTTTGGAATATTGTTACGACACACTGATATTTAAGGAAGGAGAAATAGTCAAGTATTATAATTTGTATTATGCAAAAGGGGAGTCTATTTTGTGTTAGAAGGTTAGATCGAAATAACTTAGAATGCCAAAAATGATAATCACTTTGATTAACCATTCGGTCGAAGATTGCAAAGATCATATAGTAATTTCTTTCATTCTATTCAAGGCCAAAAGAACATTCAAATAAAATTAAATAGGTGTGGATATGGATAATTATTCGGATACTTAGAAATAGTCTCTAATTAAGAATTTCGATAATCAAAAGCTGTGTGTTTAACAGAAAAATCCAAAATGCTATTCTTGCCAGCAGATGTATTTATTTAATATTAAATTAAGAGGTTTAAATTATACTGTTGCAATGGATCAACCTTGTCAGAGTTGAACAAAATGATTGAAAAGTTAGATGAAAACAAGAGAATATCTAAGGAAATATTCTTAGGTAATTCAAATCACCATTCAAGTGGATTTGATTTCTTAACTTAATCACCTAGCTATTTGATTAAAACATAGGATGAAGATGATAAATTTGCATAAGTTAATTTAACCTAATAGAATCGTTAATCATCTCATAAAATGAATCATTCACAAAAAAATACTGAAAGGAAGCCTCAAAAAGTTGTTTAGGAGATTTTAGGTAAGATCTAACATCAACCTTCTAATATTTAAAGTTACTATGAATTTATTTCATCACATTCAAAAGAGAAGAAACAAGAACTTACTTTTGAATGTCCACTTATTGAGATTCAATAAAGTAGAAAAGCAAAGATACTATAATAATAATTATAGCATTAATAATAAACTCAAAATTTGAAAACTCCAAGTTAAAATATAGATTCAAGAGTATGTTTGATTTAGAGTTTGAAACTACCTAAATTATTTAAAAAAACAAAAGAATAAAGAGGATGTCTAATTGTAGGTTTATAAGTTTGTTAGATAATAAAATTAAAGTGTTTAACTTTATTGATAATTTTGATAATGTATATATATTTATTGTTTTATAAATTTAATTTTAAATGTTATTAAGAAAATTAGCATTGCTTTATGAATTTTGTTAATAATCTGCAAGACAATGCTTTTAATTTTTACAACAAGATCCTATTGAACAATCAGGATAGATTTCTACTTAATATTAACAAGCAAATAAGGATGAGTAGCAAATGAAAAAATAATCATTACAATAAGATTATGGGGATTTGGAAGATCAAGATACTGATCATGTAAGAATGCAAATTATTATAGCATTTAATAGAGCAAGAGAATCCATTTGAAAAATTGAAACCTACTTTAAATTTCTAAAACACGATTCCACAATAAAATAATAATAATTCCAAGATAGAGAAGGAATAAATAAAATATGATGAGGAGATGGTTGACATGCATTAAAATAGCAATTGGAATAATAATGAACTTGACTAAGAGAATGAACATATTGAATTATGATGAATAGATAAATTAATTATTTATTATAAAAAACAAGTGATTATGAATTAAAAATCAAAATTAAAGGGATCTTTCACTTTTGATGGCTCCAAACTTTTCATTTAGTAAATTTTTGATTTTAAAATAATCATTATAAGTCCATGACTTATTAGAATCTTATTGTTCATTTAACATTTTCAATGCCTAGTAATATATCATTATATAAATTACTTATGTCCATGTTACAAATCTACCCTTAACTCTGAGTCTTTCTTCAGCAACCTTTTGTCTAATATGATAATGAACTTTCTTTTCGTAAGTTCTACTATGCTTTTTTTCTAAGTATCTCTTCACTTTCTATTTCCTTGCCATCTCTTTTAAGGATTCATGATTAGTTGATGTGCATAGTTACTCAACCCAAACCTCAAATTTCTATGTTTCTTCATCATTCAGTATTTCCTCACATAATCCTACTTTGATTCTGAGCAAATCATCACCCTTGACGTATGTAGAAATGAAGTCCTCTTATTTTTAAGATGGGGTGAATCTCATTCTCAATTCTTCAAGATGTTACTCTACATTTGTTGGTACTGGCAAATCCTTAGGATAGGAGAACTTTTTCTAATTCTCCTTTAAAAGCATAGCGGCCAGCATTTCTAGATCTCCTAATACAGGATAATCCTCAGATTGTTCTGTTGTAGTACATTCCTCAATGCACACCTTCTTTTTAGATTCTTCATCCAATATAAATTCATCTTAAAACACTGGACATGGTTTCTTGTAGGAAGTCAATTATTAAGGAGTGTAAACAGGAACTTCATTTTCATTTTCGAATTCTTCACATTACTAGACATTATATTAAAACATATTACTTATTCATCATCTGCTGAATAATGTGGTTCATCATATTTAACTGATGTTTCCTTGTCAATATCACCTGAATATTCTATTGTTCCCTCTTCTCTCATTAATGTATTACTTATCATTTTCACACAAGATTTTATATTTAAAAAAATCCTTTGATTTATCTTATATTAATCCTTGGTTCTTATAATCTTATCAGACCCACCCCCTTTGAAATTTACAATTGCAATCATACATCAAATAATTTAAAAAATTTAATATTATATATCTTAGACACTCCTTACGAATAATACAATCTTATATTAATTAATATATAGAGTTTACGCAATACTCTTTCTTTATAAATTAAAAATTTAAATTATTAACTGTTAGTAATATAATTACAATGTAACATTATAGCAGCGATGAAGAAATCTCATCTATTCCAGAAGATGAATATTAAGATTATGACAGATAAGATTTTGAAGCCATCCAATTTGCTGATAACAAATAAAACATAAGCGAGGCTGACGAAGAAAATGATGATGAAAATGAGGATGATGAAGAATAAGAGCATGATAACAAATTATAAAAAAATGGAATTAAATTTAGATTACCTTAAAGAAACCAAATTGAAAATAAGAAATCTCAATCCAACTTAAATAACCCAAAAATCTTGACTGAAACTACAAATTAATTGAAAAACATTAGCAAAATTGAAAATAGACCTTCCACTTCGAATTCCTCGTCTTATAAGCCTATCTATACTACAAGCATTCATTAAAGTTAATAAATGCAAAAAAAATATAATTACAAATAAAAATCATTTAATACATTACCAAAAAGATCTGATCCAGTTGCCAGATATTAATAGATGTCTTAATAATGGAAGAAAACTAAGTTTTTATAAAACACAAATGGAATGAAAGAGGGTAGAAAACTGAATTTAGATACAAGGATTGAATAATAAAAATAGGAATTAAAAGAATCTGGAATGTTTCATAGATACGTAGCAAAATCTTAATTATTTTTGTGATTTTATTATTTCGTTATTAATTTATTTCCTAACTCATATCTGCAATCCAAAAGAGATTAAAGTGAAAAATTAACCAAATGATCTCATTTAAATACTTTATGAAATAAATCTAATTTGAATAAAATGCAGATTTTAATTATCACATATCATTTTATTTTAAAAGTAGAAAAATTGAATTGATTTTCATCCAAACAAAAATTATTTAGTGCCTAATAATTTAGTACATTTGGAACATCGATGTTGCACATCTTTACAATTATTCAAAAGACAAGGAATAAATGCAAAAAAACAGGTTATTATGAGTGCAAGTAAAATAAAAATTATTACATAGCTTCCTTTACCCATTTCATAGGAAATATCTGAATCTACAGGAGCATTGCATTTGGAACAGAATAGTTTTTCTGATTTCCTCGTTTAAGGAACCTTTGGATATGGACTTTCCTATTGAATAAGAGTATTTGTATTTATATGTAATTCAATATTATTTGATTTAATTGTTTGATATGTTCCTTATGTTTATCCACTTCTTGTTTATTATTATTACGTGTCTAAATTGTTATCATTCATCAAATTATATATATATTAATTGAAAATTTAATTATTTATGAATTAAAATATTAATGAAGGCTTAATAAAATGTTAATTAAATGGGAATAAAACTTATAAACATAATTAATTCAGTAAATTTACTCAATTTGAACATACTTACTTAATATTTTATTGAAATTTATCATCTTCTTCAATCACCGAATCTAATTTATCATTAATTAAATTTTCAATCCTTGAAACTTTATTAGAATAGGAAGAAGATCCTTTGCTACTTAAACTTTCGAATGAGTTCATTTAACAAAAGGACGGACAATAAAATTGAAATTCCGCATATTTTCTAGGGCTTTTAGTTCTTTTTCTTTATTCTGTTCTTATCTTATAGGATGTAGGATTGCATCTTTTAACTTATGCAGCTTGAGACTCTATTCCAATTGAATGAGTATCCTTTTATTCTTCTATAAAAGATAATAATATATTATACTAATTTATGAGAGACCAGAAAATCCTGTAGCTTTATCTAAGATCTCTTATAAAATATTAATATTCTCAAGTTTACAACTAAAGTAAGGATGTTCAAGACATTATGCTGCTGAATATCTAGTTCTAGGATTCGGATCCAACATTGATTTTAACAAACTAACTGCCTCCTTTTATAACTTATATTCAATATCTTAATAATTGACTAAACATAATTTATTCTGTTCCATAATTTCCATTGTGTTTTGAGCTCGAAACAATGTTTTCTTTGTCAATCTAGGATTATGGTTATGATTAATCTTACAATTTATAAAAGATGACTCCTGCGCTGAAAATGTCACATTTATGAGTAAAATATTCATCTGCGTTGGAATTTTTGAGTATTTCAGGGGCAATGTATCCAGGAGTGCCACAAATACTAATTTTCTATTAAGGTTATGCATAAATTGCCAAGCCAAAATCAATTATCTTTAATGAAGTAATATCATTTTATTTTTATAATAAGATATTTTCTAATTTGATATCTCTATGGATAATATTGTTAATTTCCAAATATTTTAATGCTGTCAATATAATCTAAAATAGAAATATAAGCAAACTTTGATAGCTTCCCTGATCTAATGAGATGGTATCTAATCGTCTGGAAATGTTTTAATGTAATTATAAAGTGTATCCCCTGACAAGTAATCCGTCACCAAATAGTAAGAGTTCTCTCCTTGGTAGATCTCATGTAGCTTTACGAAATATGGATGATCAATCTTCTGTAAGATTTAAATTTCTTATTATAATCTATTCTAATAATAAATAAGAAAATTTATACCATGCGGTCATTTGACTTTTTTTGTAAGAGATACTTTTTCGAAATGCATTTGGCTGCATATTCAAGAATACTCTTCTTTACTTTAACCAGACAAACCTAATTTAAATTTTTATATTTCACTTTTGATGATGCTCCTGATCCAATAATGGAACCAGAATCGTAAAATATAGAAATATTTCCAAAAAAGACTTTAGGAGACAGGTGAATTTTCAAGAGATTGAGAGAATTATGATCAGAGTCGAACCATTTAATTCGATTCACATAGTAGATTCCAAATGAACATAATTCATCTTATTCTGAAACCTTCCACATTACTCTTGTTTCAAAATTAAATTGGATTATATACTTGGGATTCAACATGTTTTTATGCTATATTATATATTCAGTAGACTTACTTCACTCAAAATCATTGAATCTTCAAGGACTTACAAATAATATGTTTTGCTTTTCAAAATGTGTTTCCTTACACAATTCATTTGATATAGTACTTGCATTTATATTATATTACTTTTATTACTCTCTTATTAATATATATTCAGATATATTAATTAATTTGTTATATTTAAATTCAAAATGCAAACCTAAGACCTTGTTGAATATTTAGAATAAGATGTCAAAAGCTTTAATCAACTCTTTACTTTCATTCCCTATCAACCCTCATTCTATAATTTCATCACCAAGTATCAATTGAAATCCATTCAAATCGAATTGAAGAGTGAAGAATTCTTACCATCCATCTTTGTTAATGATAAACTGCAACATAAAATTAAGTATCATCAGCAATTCAAACAAGCCTATGGGTTAACGAACTCTTTTGAATTTGATAATACAATCTCAATTGATATTATTTCTTATGACATAGAAGAAACTTATAAAGAGTAAAGAAACATTCATTATTAATTAGGAAATTGGAAAACGATAACATGTATCCCATCTTATTAAACTTTGCAGTTGCTAATTCGAATTGGAATGCTGACTCCCTTGCTCAATTTATTAATGAAAAAGCCTGCTCATATAATACAATTAATATTGATCTGCTCTATTTGAATTTATTTAGATTTGCTTTGTACTTTTAAAAATGTAATCAAATAACTACTTTTTTGCATTATCCATCTGTCAAATTTAGATTATAAGAAATAAGACACACTAACAAATTTGTAGAAACTCCACTAACTAAAATGATTACAAAATCGAGATCAAGTTAAAAGAAAGAAAAGGTTCAATACAAATTTGGATTTCTCTCTCTTGATCAATCTAACCGAATCTTTCCTTTGATGATTCAAGATCCTCTTATCTTTTAATTGCCATTAATAGGTACTTGGTTATATTCAAATGATCCATATGATGAACCATTAAATAATAGATAATACATATGGACAATGTTAACAGAATATATTTGTAGTCCATACATCACCCGAAGAATTTGTAAAGATTAATATGATTAATTTTTATTCATTCAATTCCAAAAGAATCAATCTCCATAGTTCTTTGAAGTTAGCATTCAAGAAGACCCTCAATATAAAATTGTAAGATCTTAAGAGAGAATACTTAATCTAGATCATCATTAAATTGATCTAGCATCTGCTTAACCATTTAAATAAATTGAAAAAATGGCAGATTTATATAATCCTATCTGCAATACCAATCAGAATCCAAATAAGACTTAAAATATTAATAAACAGGAAATTCGATCTGCAGAACCTATTCAAACTATTGAATAATCATTTTAATAGGAAAGCACAGTTAAACAGCCACCAGTCCCTTAACCTTTAGACTCCAATTAAAGTTATTAATCTGCAAATTTCCCTTAAAATTAGCATTTAACAGAAAAATTAGTTATCATGTAATCAGAATAGTTAAAATTAATGCAAACACAAATTATAGATTTATAAAGAGCTCTACTTCATTAAGTATGATTAAAGTATTATTTAGATGCAATAACCAAATGTGCAATAACCCATGAGTCCTCCGAGAAATGAATAGACATTTCATCCATCAAATAAAAGAATTGGTTTGCCAGTATAGAAGATAGATTTCTTAAGTGAATAATTGAAATTGAAAACTCAATCTAAAAAAAAAGAATAAGAAATAGAAGAGATAGCTTAATAAATATTATGTGACAAGATAGAATCGATGTAAAATTCAACTAGGAATTCTATTAATAAATTAATCTCATAAAATAATTCAAATAACTCTGATACTTCTCATCAATTCAAAATTTCAACTAATAAAAAACAATCTTTAGGCGATTTAATTATATCTATGAAAGATAGTGACATTAAGAGATAAATTAAAAGAAACTAAGCCATGATTTAAGGATATCAATGGAAATACTCAACATGAAAATCATTAAAATCATTCTTAATCTTTATCTCCTTTTTCTCTATAGAATTCAAAATTAGAAACAAATACCTTTTTATAGATTCAATCCCCAACATTCAATCAACAAAATGATGTTTCTTAATTTAACTATTTGACCAATAATACATTTTAATAAGAAAGTCCAAATAAATATGTTAGAATTGATTAATTTACTTAATAATTATAACAATAATAATAACAACAATAATTGTAACAATAGAACTAATTCTTATAGTAATAACAATAGTTACAATTATTATAATAATCCCAAAAGAAATCCTAATAGTATTAGCAATCCTCAACAAATAAATAATCAATTTTAATTTCATCTATACAGAAATCATATAACAAGTATGATTTAATTTAATGACCTTAGAGAGAATATGATGTCCAATAATCAATTAGAATAGAGTGCTGGGACTAAAGCTATGCCTAAGATTAAATTTAATTTAAAAGACTATGAGGATTCCGATTCAGATGAAGAAGTTAAAAAACTGCAAATGAAATACCTAAAGAAAAGATGATTATAATTAATTTATTGTTTTATGTTTTTAAATTTGTTTATCTATTAATATAGTATTTATAAAATATAATAATTGTTATTATTTACAGCACAACATAATTCTAAATTAATTCATATAAAATAATTTGCTTAAACGATCTTATCAACTATTTGAATTACTCTCCTATCTCTAATAATAGTGATCAATTAATCTCAATGTCTTGAAATTGAAAATTTATAAATTCTTTGAGGTAAAACCATTATTGGAATACAAAATATTTTCAATTATAATTTTTTAATGAACTCTTTAATAAAAAAATATTTCAATCAGATTGCATATGGAAATTTTGAACCGCCATTAGCAAACCCAGAGAAGGTTCTAGATGTTGGGAATCTGATTTTAATAATCTCTTAATATTTGAATGATAAAGAGTTGTTATGCTTTATTCAAGTAAGAATTAATTAAAAATATATAGATTAACAAAAAAATTAGATAATTATCAAAAGAATGCAATCAATTAAATATTAGAGTGCTCTAAATAAGATTATCAAAGCAAACTCAAATTTTAGATGTAAATGTTAAAATGATGTTAGAATTACATTCAAAATCCTGAATACTTAAATACTAAGCATAGTAGAAACTATATGTTTTATAGCTTTAATAACTTATCTATGGAGTAAAAGCAATTTATAAAAATCCAAGACTTATTAAAAAAAAAAAAGAAACACAACTCTGAATCATAAATATAATTATAAAAATAAAGAATAGAGTAATAGGAGAAGCCCATGGAAGCCCTATAATTTAAATAAATTAATAATTAAAAGAGTGAAGAAAAGAAAATAGAATTAGAAAAATTGATAAGTGAAGTTTATTCTTTATTGAGTGATGAAGAGCATAGGCCATTGCCCAAACCAGCTTTTAAACTAGTATTACATTAATTTATAATCGTAGAATGATATAACTAAAAATTTATGTCCAATAGTCTAATATTAAAGAGTTAAATAATTGGCATAGAAATTAAAAGGATCACAACAAAGAGATGTTAATTATATCTGAAATAAATAATAATTGTAATTATTAAAATGTAAATATAAAAAATTAACTTCTGTCTCTTTTTTTGCATTTTCTTCTTAATCCTTTCTTTGCTATTCTATTGTTTTTTCTTCTATTAATTTGCATTTTCTTTAATTCTTTCATAATACCTTGTTAAGTGATATTATTTAATATAGGTAATTAAAGCTTATATTTTCTCATATAATTTTACATTTTATTATTATACACTTTGTTGAATTCTGAAATTTCATCAAATTATGGAATTTGTTCATTTATTAATCAATATAAATTAAGTACTTGTTAATATGCTCTCAGAATTCATTGAATTTTTAATGAATAATTCTTAATTGGGTGATTTTTTAATTATGGAATTTATTTCAATAGATAACATTTCTTCTTTGGAATTTTATTTTTTAAAATTCTTAATTAAGTTATCATCCATTTCGTAGAAATTACTTTCTGAATATTTTGAAATACTCTCTTATCTATTTCTAATCACTTTTTTCCTTTAAAAAGATTGATTTACTGCAATTTTTTGAACAACTAGTAAATTAATTCTTATTATTGCCCTTTTTTTGCTAAAATCGATTTTTACATTTACTCAAATAACAGTGCATTTTGTATTTGAAGTCTTTTTCATATCAATCCAAAACGCTTGATTCATTTTTAATTCTTTTCTGGGATTTTTCTTTTATTGATTCAATTACTAATAAAATTCTATACTTTGAAATTTAAATTAAATTGATTATAGGGTCGACATATATTCTCCAAACCTATTTCATAATTGATTATTTAAAGTAAGAATTTCTTTATTTTTTAATTATTAGCTCTAATTAGTTTATCTTTATATTTCTTTACCTTTGAGTTCCTTTAATTTTCCCTAAAATTCTTCCAATTATTTTATTTATTCATCTATATTTTCACATTTATCTTCTTAATTAAATTAGGTGAACTTATCGAACTGTTCATTTTATTCCTTTATATTTTAATCCATATTTTTTAGCTTATTATTTATTAAATTTCTAGTTGTTTCATTATTGCAATATTCATTTTTTATTAGATTTTTCACTTACTCTTTAAATTGATTCATTTATTAATTAAATTAGTCCAATTAATTTTTTGTCATCTCTAATGTTTTAATTCTTTCATGGTTTTTTAACTAAATTTGTTCATCGTTGTAAATTTTTTAATGCAATTAACTATGTTATTTTTCAAAGCTCTTTAAAGATTGTTATATCTCTGAATATATTTGAGTGTATTGTTAATAAGCTGGCAATGTCCTTTAAGATATTAATTATTTTAAATTATTTAAATAACAAAATGCTTGTCCTATCTGATTAATTACTTAAGTGATTTAAATTGAATATTTTTAATTTGTTGAGAAATACTGATATTTTTCCTAGTAATCATTTAATTTATCATTTAATTCTTGAATTTAAGACTGATGTTTATCCAAAAATTGCTTATCTGTTTATTAAATACTTTTATTTGCCTCTTCAATATGAGTTTTGAGTCTATTTTAAGCCTATAAAATTTCCTCTAACTTGCTATTATATGATTAATATGTAACAATTTATTATTGTAAAGCTTCATCTTTCTAAATTCTTTTCTCCTAAAATTCTACAGTTTAAACCACTTATGTTATTTGTTAATGATAATTAATAGCGTCTTGAATTTTCTCTTCCCTTAAAAATACATTTTTTAATATGCGGAAACAATTCTGATTTTTTCTATCTGGTGAAATAATTTCAGTGATTAGTTTTATTTTCAGTTAGTTCATCAATGAAAATCTTATTAGTAGTTTAGATATGCTATAACACAATTCAACATCCTCCTCTGAACTTCTAGGCCCAACCGGGTTGTTTGGGAGAAGCTCATACCTCACTTTCTTTCTCCCCTCCTTTTTTCCATCGCTCTCTATAACATCACCAAGTCTACTCTAAACCTAACTCAGACCCTCAGGTATCGGGTTAGGCTCAGGAGAAGGTTCTTTGAGACATGCCAATTATGACACCATCGATGAAATATTTTAATTTTGTATTCTATTTAATTAAGCATTAATTATTTTTCATTGTTCTAATTCTTTTATTTCCTTTCTATTTTAGTTGTCTGATAAAGAAATTTCTTTATTAAGTTGTAGTTAATAATTTTTTCAATTTCCTATGTTATTTATTTTATTAGTTTATTTTGTAAAATTTGTATTAATGCAAACATTATAAGTTAAAACATATTATACTGCCCTATGATAACAGTGATATTCACCAACGAGATAGGGCGCGAAACTATTAAGTGTAGCTAAGAAATGGTTATAATTATATACTCCTAACTGAATCCAATAAACAACACTGTGGAATATATTTAAAAAATCCCAAGAATAAATCATAAATGCCTCCCTAAATCTATCTAGATCAATACATGAGCTTTTTAAACAAATTTAAGGAACCAAAAGAGTAAATCTATATTTTCAACTTGCTAATAATTAAAGGATTTCTGATAAGATTGATATCTATATTTAAGTTTAATTAAATTTGTAGCTGCCTTCTTTTCTCCTAAATCTTTTGAGATAAAATCAGATTTTTATAACAGCCCCATATTATCCAAATAAATAATAAATAAAAATAATGATTAAAGCTTATTCTATTTCTATTTTGCAACATGATAATTAATTCCTACTCACTATCTGATTTAATGATTTAATATCTCTGTTTTTCGTAAACTTCTTATTATCATTCAATTTTATACATTTTCTTGTGTTTTCCTAATTTACTTTTCCAAATTTATCAATCTTCAGCTTAAGGCAGTATCATTAATACAGAATGAATAATTTTTGTTATCCATCTTAAAATATTATGCTTTTAATAAAATAACAAGAATCAAATGAAAATTGAAGATCTCAATTTGGATTAGCGAATTGTAAGAAAAAATAATCTTATGCTGATCAAATATCAGACATAATGATTAGGGAGATAACCACATCATCTTATTCTACATCTAAATATTCCCATGAATTCTAAAGTATTAAATCTCTTTCAAAATACAAAGAAACCAAAAAATTCGTTTAAAAATGAATAAAATAGTGCATTAAAATTTAATCAATATTTTTTCAAATAATTTGATTAATGTCCTTTCGTATATTAACTATTTTCATTTGAAATTGTTAAAAGCATATGGCGTAATTCATATTAAAAATAGCAATCCGTTTTCTTTGTATAACCCCCTCATCACCCCAAAATCATTGTAAAGATCATTCTTAAATAAAAAATATCGTATTAACTCATTTGACCTTAAGAACCATCTTAGTTAATTTGATAAAATATTCGACAAAATTGGTAAGAAAAACTACAACCAACTCAACAACTCTTTATTAATTCACTCTCAGATTTCTGAAAACTGAAATTAAGAAATTTGAAAGAAAACTCTTATACATATACAGGAACTCAAAGTTGAAATGATGAAATCTCAAAATCATAAGCATAGATATCAAAATGCCAAAGTATTAAAAAAATACAGAAATTTAATAATTAACTTTGATTGAAATACTAACATTAAAGATCGTTAATAATGTAGATCCAAATTCTTTTTAATTAAATCTTTGATTATTTATATTTTGACAGAATATTGCAAAATATTTTGCTGTTTTAATCGAAACTGTTATTGAAGAGCGTTTAATTCAATTACATATTAGAAATTTTTAATGATGATCTTCATAATAATAATAATAATTATATAAAATTGTATGATTTATCAAATTCAATTAATCTTCATAATGATTATCCTGATTGATTAATTTATTTCTGCAATATTTCTTCAAATAATTTTTGTTAAATTAACTCAAATATTTGATACTTTTATATGATGTCTTTTATTTTGCTTTAATCTTTCAATTTAGATCTAAATTTCACTAAGTCTTTTTATTTAATATAATTTTCTAGTTCAACAGTTGTTTTTTCAATTTAAATTTTATCCTTCTGCATTGCTTCAATAGTCATCATATTGTAATTTTTAAATAACACATTTTCATATCTTAATAATATATCTTATGCTTCTTTCTCTTTTTTTGTGTTTTCTTCTTAGTCCACGTTTAATTTAGAATAGAATTACTTTTAATAGTCGCTTTCTTTATTATTTTATTGTTTTAATTTTTATTAATTTGCATGTTCTTTGATTCTTTCCTAATATCTTGTTGAGTGATATTATTTTATATAATTAATTAAAGCATACACTTTCTCATAGGATTCTAAATTTTTAATATAATGATTGTTGAACTCTTCTATTTCATTATTTTCTGGAATTTTCTTCATTAACTCATCAATATCTGCAAAGACTTTTAGAATATGTTCTTTTAATTCATTTAATAATTAAGGGGTTAATTATTAAGTAAATATCTTTTAGTTTATTGAAGTTAATACTATTGATAACTCCTCTTCTTAAATTTTTAAGTATTCACAATTCTTAATTAATTTATCATCCATAGGGTAAAAGTAAAATTCTTTTTTTTGGGATACATTTGTAATTATATTCTCTAATTTCTATCCATTTTTTAAGCAATTTTTCTAGAATTTCTTTAATAAATCTTAAATTTTTTCTGATTATTTCTAATTTTTTGTTTACATATCTCTTTATGTTTTTGCAGATAACAGGATATTTCCTTTATAATTCTCTAACAGTTTATCCAAAATGAGTATTTCATATTACAATTCTTTTTGGAGACTTTCCGTTTATTGATTCATTTACTAAAATAATTCAACACTTTGACTTGAAAATTTGATTTATTACAGAGCCTTTGCATATTCTTTATGCCTAGTTTATAATTGATTATTCAAAAAAAGAATTTCTTTTTCTTATTAACTTTTGTTTTCTTATCCAACATTTTTAATTATTAACTCGAATTGGTAGAGATATTCTATTTCTTTACCTTTGAGTTCCTTTAATTTTCCCTAAAATTCTTCCAATTATTTTATTTATTCATCTATATTTTCACATTTATCTTCTTAATTAAATTAGGTGAACTTATCGAACTGTTCATTTTATTCCTTTATATTTTAATCCATATTTTTTAGCTTATTATTTATTAAATTTCTAGTTGTTTCATTATTGCAATATTCATTTTTTATTAGATTTTTCACTTACTCTTTAAATTGATTCATTTATTAATTAAATTAGTCCAATTAATTTTTTGTCATCTCTAATGTTTTAATTCTTTCATGGTTTTTTAACTAAATTTGTTCATCGTTGTAAATTTTTTAATGCAATTAACTATGTTATTTTTCAAAGCTCTTTAAAGATTGTTATATCTCTGAATATATTTGAGTG